TTAGTTGTTTTCAAGTCATCAAGACCAGATGCAAAAAGCATGCTGAAAACTGCTCGGGGAGCAGTCGTATTTAAGCGGTTTGAGAACTAATTTCTATACTCCGCAGCTAATTAATGTCCAATAAAATATTAATATATATGATTAAATTTGTGCGACAAGTATTAGAATTCCGAAATTCGAAATACTTGCAATTCTAATTTCGGTAGCGCAAAGTCACATGAACATTTTACCGTTCACAATGGCACTTTGCCACACTGTAATGAGCTATGAGAAACAGAGTAAATTGCTTTTGTAATTTAAGAAAACATGAACCAGTTAAAACTCCAACAATAACTGAAATAATGGCCCAAAGTTATGTTGCTGTATATTACAGACATGTTGCTTACAACCAATACTTTTCTGAAGCACGTATGTAGTGCCGATTGGGAACATCCTCATTCATGCTTCATACATTAATCTTCTAGCTTCAGCATACCTAAACCTTGGTAATTGGATATAATCTGAAGATAATAATCCGAAGGGAGATTTCATGATTTATATGTAATATAATTGTATATACATACAAGTAAAGACAAACGAGTTATGCGATTTCAATACCATGTCCTATGAGCAGCTATATCCTGCGTCTAAACTGTCGATCTCCATCCCCAGGGAACCACAAATTTCGCATTCCGTACCAATATTCTCTCCTTTCTTAGTAAAGAACACGTATCCAATATCGGAATAGTATCCACATCGCCAATTTCCCCCCACTCGTCGTATCCTTGGGGTTTGTATTCGACAAGTGCAGTTATCTCGTAATAATGTAATACGTCCGGTTTTGAACGTGTTTTTGTTGCTATTTTAGAGGGAGCAGACTTTTTTTCCTGCTCTTTTTCCTTGACAGCATACTCAGTAGTGGGACTTTTGGGAGGAGTTGCCGGAGATTTGATCGATTCATCAACGTAGATTCACTTGGCGATGAAAGTGTCTGAGAATCAGTTTGAGATATTGAAGATTGCGACTGATGTTGAATCTGACATGGATATGTAGCATAATTAGCTGCTGACTATTGGGTCTGAGCCGCAGAGTGATAAAGAGGAAGATTGGATGATACCGTTGATGTCGGAGAAGTATTCAATAATAGATTAGGTGCATCTCTTCGAAACTGTTGATGTTGAGGAGAAGGATAATGAGTGTAGGACGAGGATGGTGTTGACTCACTAACCGTAGACGTTGAAGGATCAATCAGCGGATGACTGGATGTTGAAGGATCAATCGGCGCTGCTGTTCTTGTTGCTGTTGCTGTTGCTGTTGCTGTTCTTGCTGCTGTTGTTGCTGTTGTTGACGAAGTGCTGACTGTTGCGATTGCTGATTAGTGAGCCACGGTTGCTGTGCCGATGGATATTTGGCAGATCGAGTAGCTGCTGTATGCGCAAGCAATTCCATCCCAGTGCCACTTTGCTCATTCCGTGTACTCGTCGAGTTATTATCGTCACGTACATTTGATGAACTGTCGGATAAGACCTGCCTACCCCCGCTGATAGATTTAGAACCACGATTCTCAGACGAGACGAGTTCAAGCGCCGTCTTTACTATATTCATAGTCTCGTCATCAATATCAGCAGTATTTTCTAGTTGGCAGGCATTAATGTTTTGTAGCAGAGTGTATTCCAATAACCTGCTGAAATGTACTAATTGTCTGTATTACGCCAGTTGAGCGCACTAATTATAATACATCCATCATGAAATTTGTGATAGTATTCGCGGCTTCGGTACAGATACTCATACTATGGTCATTATCGATATTCTGGATGTGCATTCTTATCAAAGCATAATTGTACAATAAGCAAAGATATACTCGTATGTGATCAATCGTTGTACGTGAAATAGCCGTCCGCAATGGCTCGACTTTGTCAATTTGTAGAAATGGAGGTAAATCGTTCTTCCATTGTTGGGAATTTTCACTCCCATTATGGCTAAACAAACATATCTATTTATATAGAATTTTTTAGGAGTTTGACCCCGTTTCAAGATTGTCACATATTTTATTGTTATTGTTAGTAAATAAGGGTGATCAATGGTGTAGACAATAAAAGAACGCAAAACTCCATGTGTCGAAAACTCTAATGTGTGTACCTCCCCCCCTCCTTTTTTTTAACGATTGCAACTGAAGTGCCGAAAACTCTAATGTGTGTACTTTTTGAAAGAAATCCCGGCCTCCCCCACCCTTTTTTTTAAACGATTGCAACTGAAGTGCCAAACCTCCTTTTTTAATAAGAACTCTTATGCAGCGTTGTGCGTCTCCTGCATCTACGAGCTTATTTATAGTCATTAGAAAACCACAGGAAGAAGAGTTTGCCAAATTGACAAGTTACATAATGCCGGAAACTACTTTAAAATGTGTGGATTAGTATATTTTAATATAAATACTCAATAGAACAATATTTCTAATATATTGCTTCTCCAACCCAACTAGCGGCATCACACATATGGTTCATTTGCTTGAATACGTAGTCACAACTTTAAAATATGTGGATTAGTATATTTTAATATAAATACTCAATAGAACAATATTTCTAATATATTGCTTCTCCAACCCAACTAGCGGCATCACACATATGGTTCATTTGCTTGAATACGTAGTCACAACTTTAAAATATGTGGATTAGTATATTTTAATATAAATACTCAATAGAACAATATTTCTAATATATTTGCTTCTCCAACCCAACTAGCGGCATCACACATCATGGTTCATTTGCCTGAATACGTAGTCACATTAATATAGACAATGTATATAGCTTGCCTGTTTTAAAACAATATTTTGACGATGCTATAAATATGATTCTTGTTCGAGTGAGAATATTTTCCAGCTTTCGTTAAGTTCAAACCAGTCAATATCTGTCCATACAACCCATATTTTTCCTCCATGCAGACTATATAATTTCGTTTATAATCTTCTTATATAAACGTTCTTGTTGTCGTCTGAAATATTCTCAATGGCAGATGCATTGCTTGTCATCAATTTGATAATCGGATTCTTTACAATGTGGCAGTCTCTTATTAGCATTTACAAATTTTACAAAAGACAGACACCTATTTCGGCCGATACCGGACTAAGAAATAGAGAAACAATAACATTGAATGAACGGGAACATATTGATGAAAGGACCAACATTGAGCAAAGACATGCAGATTTTACTGTAAACATACGTGGTAATAGAAACGATTTAAACGATGAGAATGTTGTTATTACTATTGCGTATAAGGACTTGATGTAAGCATTAATTACTGGCACTGCTTGTTTATCTTATTTTGTTAATCTTCAATTCTTTCCACTTTTAATTACAGTCTTGACGCGAAGACTCAGTTTCTCAGTAAGACTTAAAAATACAAGTGGATTGGTCATGCCACAAAAAAGTGGCAGTCCTGTGACTTCCGAATGATCTCCGATGCAAGAGGCTTTCCACAGGCCTTTAATTCAACTCTCGATAATTCGACTTTCCAGAATTCGATCGCCTGGAGCAATGACCCGATTTTTCATATGAAATTTTTTTCCGTTAATTCGACCATTACATATACATTTCCGATAATTTGTAATTCGACCGCCCCAAAAATTTTCTATTAAGCCAGCATGTATAAATAGTATTATAACTACGCCCGTTAATACTGTAATACGATCGTTAGAAAATCACTTCCATTTATGTATTAGTTGATTAATTTCTTCCGATTATTCGACCGTTTACACTAGGCTATTAACATGTTTTCCTATGACATCAGCAAAACTGTATGCTCGTATAAGAATTATAAGATGTAGATTGTGCGCATTATTTAATAAATTGAATACGATAATTGATAAACATACTCACTTCTTTATTAACAACTGTAATTATTCTGACATTAGCATAGAAACTAATCCCGCATGTCTACCAGTTATGGTCCTGTTTCGGCTACTCATTCAATATCGTTCTGGCCAACAAAACTTCTATAACTTTCCTTCTCTTGACCCAGTTACCACGTAGACATCGTCGTAAAACCTCAAAGGTTCAAGGAAAAATTAGAAGAACAAAGAATTTTCTGAAACCATTCGCTTACATTCTGGCTAATAATCCTAACATTGCTATTAAGGATTTGGTTAGTTATTGCTTTTGACAAATGTACGAATTGCAGTAAAATTTGTTCGATGCCTGCCATATGTTATACAGATAAAATAAACTCATTATTAGCTACCGATACAATCTTCGGACCCGTTAACTATAAACTAGTTAGTATTGATGAGATTATACCGATATTTCAAGTATTATAGCCCTCAAATATTTTGAACTGTCCACAGAATAGTTGAACGCAAGTGGTGTATATTCAGGAGGAGTATACGTATTGGCATATCAATTAGATACACCATGAAGCAAGATAATATCACATCAACTATAAAAAAACAAAAAGGTCCACTGACGGCATTTCAGAAGAAAGAGATATCTTGCACCAATGCAGACATGTTTATTCACAAGCACAAAACCCCTCGCCCACTTCGTGGAATTGATAAAGGCTCTCTGGCAGTTGAATATTATTGGAATGGATTTAATGAGAGCACACAATCGTAAAATTCTTCTCTTAGTTGATAACGCTCCGACGCATGTGACAAATATTAGACTTTATTATTTGCCACCTAATACGATTGCCCTGCGATGCGGGGATTATTCATTCTTTCAAGATTTAGTTGTTATTAACATATAGAAAGTAAACTAATCTAATTCATCTGTACTGTATTTAGGTACAATATCGACGATTGCTAGCGAGAAATAGAGTTGAACGGTCTATCGAACCGTTACACTGGTCAACATTCTGGACGCAATTAATTTGTGTTGAAGTGTGGCAGTCAGTTAAGGAATATTTGTTGGCAGAAAATTAGTATTCAAGGAAAGCAGAGATGCCGTTAGCAGAATTGAATCAGAAACGGAGAGTGTTCAGCAATTAATCGATAAACTAGGTCTTGAATTGCCAATGACGGCAGAAGAATATATTAATGTTGACGATAATGTAATAGCTGGAGGCCTGACAGATGGAAAAATTGTAGCAGCGGTGTATTCTCCTGAAGAAGAACCAGAAATAACTCAATCTGCTGCAATAGAATTTTTGGCGAGGATTTTGCATTTGATGTTAAAATGACATCGGAAAACTGCGTAATGTGCAGGGTCAATTCTGGGCTTAAGCACTGGTTGATTTATAAGTATGTGATGAAATAAAGATTTTACTTCAAATCAGCTAGCGTTATTTGAAAATATACAATTATTTAACTCGTTATACCAATATAATGAAGTCCCATAAATATCATTATCAACGATTATACTGATAAAGAGGTTTGACTGTATTGGAACTCAAATCGCGTTCTATTTCTTAAGTTAAAGTCGACGAGATGGTTGTAAAACGGCTGAAGTTATAGAGGTTTGGATATTACGTCATTTATATTGGCGGGTTACATCATGTGCATACATTGAATTGAACTCTTTACGTTTATTCGTAAATAGAAGGACTAACATGGATTTTTGAATCAAGAATTAAGTTTCAAGATTGTTTGGTAACGCTTATTCTTTAAATGGCAAATCTTCAAGTCGGTAGTATGGACATTTCCCACACTTTCAGGGAGGGCAACTCTATTTCCAAAATCGGAGTAGTATGGTTGATCATTAAACAGAAATAACAACGTCCGGCTCGGACCTCTTCCTTTTATTCCCAACGATGCTCATATTTGCTATTTTTATAACAGTAATTATCTACCTTATATGCAAATACCCCGACAGAGCTATTGGAACTCCGAAATTCAGGAAACTGCCTGGTATGTGGTGAATCAAAGGGTAACGTGTTTGAAGAAATGGGACCCGGAACATGAAAAGGCTAATTTCAGACCCCAACTTGACTGTCGCTTAAAAAATAGGCCCCAGAGGACTTCCAATACTCGGAAACTTGATATCTCAACTCCTTCATGTAACACGAGACAAGACGTCTTTGCAACATACAACCAGCTTGTATAATAAATATGGTCCCATATGGTACTTTACGTTCTAATTCATCGTTTCAACTGTTGTGCGTTGCAAGTTAACAACAAACGCCCGATTTCTTCAGGACGATATCCCTACCTGGAATTGGGCGAGTTGTGGGGTAATCGATCAAACATGTTTCGCAGTGACCAACGCGATTAAAGCTACATTAACCCTAACCTGCTCCATTAACAAAGAATCGATGAACCGGCAACGCTTGAATACATACTTAAAAGTAGGTTTATCTGAACATCTTATTTGTAAATTTACGCAAACTCTCACCATTGCCTTTTCCCTAAACCAGAAAACTTTGACAACTACGTGAAGGGGGACTACCTGTCGAGCCGCATGCAAGATGTACTTGGGCATGGCATCTTTGCAACAGGTGCATAATACATTCATATTCTTTGTTGGTTGCATCGCTTAAAATTTCTTGCTTAGCCTTAAGGTCTTAATAAATTCACGACTAAATTTTCGTAGACGGTGACGTCTGGAAAGTACAAAGGTGAATTCACGTTAAATTCGCGCATCAAGAAAAGGAAATTAAATTAATTTGTATTACATGCAGAAAGAAAGCATCCAATATCTTCAAAGTGCGAAACTTTCGCGAAATAATCTGTAAAGCATTCGCCGAAGACGGCAACTTGTTGCTAAAGATACTTAACTCAGCGGCGAACAGCGAGGAAGAGCTTGATCTGCAAGGACTATTCTTCCGATACACTATGGATACTTTTGGAAAGTAAGTGATTGTCAAAAGTTGTGCCGCCATCAATCGAATCATTCTCACACTTTTTCAAAATAAAAAAAAAAAAAACACACAATTTTTTTTTAAAGAATCTGCTTTTCAAGAGACTTTCAATGTCTTTCAAAGCCAAACGAGCCGAATGCGTTTGCGTCGGCGTTCGATTTCGCTCAATCCGTCATTGAACATCGATTTATGTCTCCATTTTGGAAATTAACAGAGGCGTTTACTAAACAGGGCAGAAAATTCCGTGAAGCAGTAAAGTTTTTGGATGACTACGCGTATGATGTGATTAGGGAGAGAAGAACAGCCGATCCTCACGGACATACGGTTAATGACTTGTTGGGGTTGTTTATACGGGAGGACATGAGTGATGAAGAATTGAGAGACATATTTTTGAACTTGTATCCTTTCGTCTGCCTTGGAATTAAAAAAAAAAAACAAAAACCGAACATGTACCGATTTTTCTCATGCATACCGTATTTATCCTTGATTTATTTTCTGACAAACTTGATTTAGCATGATAGCTGGTAAGCGCAATTTGTCTTTAGCGAACATATAATATGAATTATCTCTAATTCTCTGACTGTTTTCTCGCAGGCAGAGATACAACGGCTCAAGCCCTGAGGTGATAATTGTTTGAAATTGCGGGCTCATATTTGTCACTCATGATAGACTAAGTTCGTATTTAACTTGTGTAGCTGGATGTTTTACCGAATCTGCACAAGACCTGACGTAGAGGAAAGACTATTGAACGAGATTAATACAGTACTCGATGGTAAAGCAGCGCCAGACTATGAAGATATCCACCTTATGAAATATACCGAAGCAGTGTATGTTACTGGTTTCATTATATCGATTTTCGTCTGTGGATGATTTCTAATATCTCTACTCTCTGTCAGTTTCTTGGAAACTTTGCGTCTCCATCCATCAGTTCCAAGAGCCGCTAAAGTGGCAGTTAACGATGATGTACTGCCAGATGGGACATTTATTCCGGCAGGTACAGTTGTATCCTATCATCATTATAGTATGGGTAAATCAAAAATACTGTGGGGCGACACGGCCGAAGAGTTCAGACCCGAGAGATTTTTAGATGCTAATGGAGATGTACGGAAGATCAGCCCTTTTACATTTCCTGTTTTTAACGCTGGCCCGAGGACATGGTGAGTTAATTATTGATAGTTGCAATTTCATATCTTACAGTTTCACCGGAAATAATGTCTTTTCTCACCCCTCACCCCCTCCCCCATCCAGTCTCGGACAACAGTTTGCTAGCATTGAAGTTCTTACAGTAGTTTCAATGGTTCTGAAACACTTCAAAATAGAATTGAAATCTAAAGAGGAACCACTACCGGGTCGATCTCTGACACTGCCAATGGCTCAGCCATTGCTTTGTAGAGTGTATAAAAGATGATTACTGTGAGATGTGCTATCCTAACTTAATTCGAGCTTACACTGAATATGTACTACACGTGATGACATCATATAAATCCGTTTTGGTCAATTCTGGATGCTTCATTCATTATTATGATTCGATTTCCACCACTCGTTAGTTTAATGAAAAACCAATTATTGATAACATCTTCATTCGTACATTCTCGTAAATATTCCATTATACTTGATAAAGAAGGACCATATCACAAACTTTTAAAAAGAAAACACACCCCATCAGAAAAAGAATTTGACAAATTAAGCGTATTTGAACAAGACATATGGGCTAGTCCTTATGGTGCGAAGTTTGCGTTGGTTTACCCTCGAATACATGTGCTTGGAAATTTATATTGGAGTTTCTTTTCCACTTTCCTTAGTGGCTGCTATTGCGACACCCTTACGTCGCTGTATATACCATGACCGATTGATGCCGAGACGTAAGGGATACTTGCCTGTTAATATTATACGTCTATATTAATTTAATGCTCGTAGATATCCAATCGTTCCATAGATTTCCTCATTCGTTTCATTAGACTATATGATGACAAGACAAATAGGCTATGGCTTCTTCCAGATATCACAGGGAAGACGTACAGAGATAAAAGGCATGGACTTGCGTTTTATATCCGATCACGAGCCGATGTCGTCAGTGCTTTGACGCAAGAAGGTACAAATGTAACCTCAATTAGATAGTTATTCTAGGCATCTACTAAATTTGTTTGCATTTCACGCAGGAAAATACAAACAGATCCAGTCAGATGCATATTGGAGACCAGATATGATACATCATGTATGGCGAATATTGCTCAGAGACCTCAAGAAAGAATGGGACAATATCAAAACCACTGTTGATAATGCAGGCGCCAAATTGTGCAGGACAGACCTATTTATACCAATGTTGAGAGACAACCGCAACCAACAACAATACGACGTATATTCCAACAGCAGACATATACCTGGGTTACAATGTATTCTGGTGCTTGATGGCCAAGAAGAGAGTAATACGATAAATGATGGACGAAAACAATTACCAATGATTCCTTCATCACCCATTGGCACTCCAGTGTCAGTCGGCTTTGTTTCTAGTCGAACAAATCAGTACTCAGTACAGTCAAATATCATGGCTTATGACATACGAAAAGTTTGGGGAAAAGAAGGTCTGAACAATATCAAGAACATGCTTGACGAAAAGTATAGAGATGAATGTCGAGCTGTGGGTGTGGTGAGACACGTAGCCACGAAATGGTTTGCATTGGCCTTGTGGAAATTATTAGATTATACCGAGTGACTTGATATACCGATTTAATTTTAGCCACAAATATACAATAAATCCAAATATTATCAATATAGCTACTCGCTGACTCGTCCTCTTGCTCGCGCTCTCTCACACACTCTCTCTACCTCTCTCTCCCCCTCTCTCTATCCTCTCCCTCATTCCCCGCCGCCCAACGCGATTTTACTCGTTATTCCATCCACTCCCGAACAAGTGTTTCCAAATCCAGTCATGTATAATGTAGGTTAACCGACATACGTATATTACGAGCCACGCGCTGCTAAGAGGTACGCGCCTATTATATTTATGCGATAATCTAAGTATGGTAAGGATAAGCGTAAAGTGAGGTGTGAACAATGTCAGGAATATAAATCGTCCGATTTTCTTGCGGGTTGTGTTCACGTTAAATGGTACGAGCGAGTTCAGGTAATTTTGATATTCGCTTCTGAAATTAAACTCTATTGCACCTTCTTTTAGTAGATTTAAATATCTAAATACAAAAGAATTGATGTTACTACAACAAGTTGGTTGAATCGCGTGGCTTGTCAAGATTTCTATATACTTGCCTAGCCGATGCCTGACATCCAGGCCTGATTGAAGCGGGCCTAGCAATCAAGGTCTTTGCGACGAGTATTTCATCGTCACTAGTCTTGCATTCGACATCGATAACATCATACCCAACCGGAATACTGTTATATCCCCATCCGCCTTCTGTTCTTATGATACGCTCGAGACAAGTTTTAGTAATCTGGTAAACCACGCCTTGTAAAGTAGGAGGCAGTGAATTCTCTGGATTGTTTGGATCCCATTTGAATGGTGTCCCCGCTTTGCAACGAGAATGGATTTCCATTGCATATTCTTTGGTGATTTCTTTTTCCGTTCTTTTGATCAGACTAGCATAGCATGGCTCAAAGTACGGTACACCCGCGAAATCCATGCTTAGCCAGTACTCGGGGGCAGTTACAATTTTGTGCTGTAACGGATTGATCCCGCGACGGCCTTGGAAGACTGCCTTGTTCATATTACTGCCGTACGCTGTTTAAGTAAAATCATTTAGTGCATTAGGCAGGAGACTTGAAAGATGAGTAATCTGCAGAAAACATCCAAATTCTGCCCGAGAAATAAATTATTATGACAATAAAAGGAATCAAAGGGTAAAAAACTGTTGTAGAGATTACCTAGATACCAAATGCAATCATCGTTGATGTAATCGGTTATTATGGTCGTGTCGTTTAGCACCATTGTCTAATTTATTAATTCACTATGCTCGTCTTTCGGCAGTGAATACGAATATATATATAAGCTCTGAAGACAATTGCAGCAAGACTAGACTAAAATTCGTTACTATTACGTTTGTCGGTTAATAATAATCGCTTCGACATTCTCCTTGTTACCTAATTGTATATTTTCTATAATAATCCGATAATCGTGCTTCGTCCCACCTTCCCGGTAAATAACAATAAAAAGGAAAAAATATGCACATTGAAATGGACACACAAACGATAATAGCACGTTGAAACATTTATTGATGAATCAATACCATTCACCCTTTCATTCTAAATAACGTGCATACCAATATGGATTATAAACAAAAGTATTCATGAAACACAGGTAGCGAATGACATCATTATATGTGTGATATTACATATGGCACCTCGACTTCAATCTCATAGGTATATCATCTTTAGCCATAAGAACAAACCTTTCGACCTCTTCAACCTTTTCTGCAGGAACAGTCAACTCGACATTAAAATTCTGCATAATCAATAGTAATACTAGCTTAACTTCTACCATTGCCAATCTCTCGGCTGGGCATATTCTTGCCCCATAACCGAAAGGTAACCAGGTTAATGGCTTAATTTCGTCTTTTCTCTGTCGACTCCATCTGTCAGGATCAAACGTCTTTGGATCGGTGTAGTAATCTCTACTCGAGTGGACTAGAGGTATGGGGAATAACACTGTTGTCCCGGGCTCGAGTGATAGTTCCTCTCCATTTGTTAACGTAAACGTAGATGGCGTGTCAGTGGGTAATAATCGTGCAACAAAGACACCAGGTGAGTGCAGGCGAAATGCTTCTTTGACTATTGAATTGAGATATTCAAGATTCGAAAGATCTGCGAGAGAAGGCAGACGACCTTGAAGTGTGGTGTCTATTTCTTGCTGGAGACGGCGTTGAATTTCTGGCGTTTGAGCCAAGTGGAAAAGCGTCCAGAGGATACCAATACCAGTTGTGTGATAGCTAGCGATCAGAAAACCTGTCATTATCATGTACATCTGGAATATCGAGAGTCGCATGAATATTAGTAAAGATCAAAAAGAGCAAGCCTTATTCTCGCTTGACTTACCATATCATCTGTAAACGGCTCACCAGTCTCTGGATCATTGTCTTCAATCATAATCGTCAACAAGTCTCTTGTCTTTTTTTCCTTTCCACCTCTCCTGATTTCTTCTCGTCTTTGATCTATAAGACGCTTAACGTTTTCTTGGATGTATTTTAGAGCATCCTGGATTTTCTGGTTATCCCTTTCATCGAAAAGACCAAATTGCTTATCGAAAAGACCGCCCAGAGCGAGATCGTATGCTTTTTTGAATTCAGTGAGGTCGATATCCGTTCCACCTTCCGTACTAATAGAAAGAAAGGGAGGAGAGAATGATGCAAACGTACAAATAATTCATACTATTATATTTAATAATAAGAATTTGCCTTAGAAGAGTTTTGGTGGAAATATGAAATGATAGAGCAAGACAATCATCCTGCATTCGTATTACGGCTCCATTTCTGTTTTCTTCGGCAGCCTTCTTCCATTCGTTTGTAAATTGAATGCCAATATCACAAAGTGTTGCAAATTTGGCTTCGATAACTGTTTGCAGACAAGATATTGTTTACTTCACACAGGCTTTTCCATTGATTGTCCACATACGCTATGATTGCCAATACTCTCACCTTCTTGACCAAAAGCTGCGCCCACCGATTTTCTAAATCTTGCCGCTCGACCTTGCTCATAAATTTGAAGATTATCATGACCCAAGAGATCAGCCAAAAACGCAAACAATTCTTTTGGTCGATTTCCACAAGATAATGTGGCTTTCATCACCGCAGTGTCTATGCAAGATATGGTATTTGGCATTGGTAGACCATGACTGGCAATAGCGCCCTGTTCAGAATGGAGTTTCTTGATATACGGAATGAATCCACCAGCCTGCTTGAGAGCTTCTTGAGGATCGAGCGATAAAGATTGTCGTTTGTTTTTTGCATAGATGAGATAAGCGGGTATGAGGAGAATGGCAAGGACGAGGATTGAATAGATATCAACGTTACAAAGTAGTGACATGATGAGCAAAAATCAAGAAGATATTCGAGTGTGGGAACTTCATATGTAGAGGAAGATCATGAACCATAACATAAATAGTACTTAAAATAGCACTAGCCCAATCTGCAAGTAAATCAAACAGGGCAGAAAAGCCTCTCTCACACTTTGATAGCCACATGTAAACATCAAAGAGTTATTTTTTTTTAATTAGGGAAAGGACGATTCAGTAATTCAGATGAATTGAATAGTTCTACGCAACTACTGCGTACTTTAGTAATACTTCTATCGAGTCGCATAATTTATTCGACAGGAAAAGGAATTACTATCCAAGGAAGACCCGTTTCTGATTAAAATATTCGTAGGAAGCCTTGTCACTTCAAGAGAGTGAGACAACGCTGACTGTGGTTTTTAGCCCAAGAACATGCGTTTTTAATATTAACAGTTAATAAGGATGCATTCTAGCGATGGTTAATGCAAGATTTTGTTAACTAAATTGAGCTTGTCAAATTCGACCACTTAGGTATTCACTTGTATGGACCTGAAGTATCAAGAGTCTCTTTACGATTATATTTGTCCTTTGTTAAAACCGCGGTTTGATAGCATTCTAGCGAGGGGGGGGGGCTAATGTCGCAGACACGATATACAAGATTTTGTTAACTAAATTGAGCTTGTCAATTCGGCCGCTTCGGTATTCACTTGTATGGACCTGAAGTGTCAAGAGTCTCTTTACGGTTATATTTGTCCTTTGTTAAGACCGCAGTTTGCTTGACAATGTTAATGTACTCTCTGGACCGATTAGTTAATCTAATTTATTTAACGTAGGGAACTTCTATATTACCGGTAATAGAAAATCCCCGTATTTAAGAATTAAACCCCAACATAACACAACCAAACGATTACCGAGAAACCGTTTCAACTTCTGGTAGACACATGGTATCTAACTGAAAAAGGAAAAGGCTCGGTGATAAAATGCGGTCGAGCCATCCTAGAATTTACGAGCGTGATTCTTTAACATGATTACAGTGTTTTAACAGCCTGCAAGCCTGCAAGCTTTCGGCTCTTTGTTTTGCTTTGTTGCTCCATGCCCTACACGGGATAGAAACGTAGCGACCAAGATATCCCAACTAATAAGCGTGCAACTTTGAGCTTGATCGGCTTGTGTTATTTTTAGCCAACAAAGCACACTGTGACATGATCACCGTTGCTTTCACAATTGTGTACCAAATTGCAAGCGATCTTTTTCTAATAAACATGTTTTTCTAATTGCATATTGATATGTACATATTAATATGTACCATATTTATGTGTATCACTAAATTATTCTTAGTAAAGTAGATTTCATTGGTCCTATGATGTTGCTTAAATTAATGAACGAATTTTAATATGCAAGCCGAGATATCAAGATGATTGCCCTGTTTTTATTGACGCTATTATTATACAAAAACCCCGTTTTAGCAAGTTTGCCCATTCGGCAATGATGCCCGTACAACTAAATCGAGTAGGGTCAATTATGATTATGATTATAGACTGTCGTTGTATCACGTTACGTTGTATCTCGGATATTTCCGATCTGCAATTGCCGAGCACAAACTTATATGCGTGCTTTATATTTATAAATTACATATGCGTATCAATATTGTTGGTGAGATAATATATAAAAAGGTCCCATATTCCATCAACAATCCACAATTAACAGAGTCACAGAGTCCATAATACCTCGTAATTTAATCCCTCTAGACAGGATGAACAGCATACTACGTCCATTCCCTTTCAGTGTAAAAGAATCGTATTATATAATTTTACCCGATTTTGAATTCTCATACGGACAATTGGCGTTCTACTTATTTAGCGCCGTGATTGCGAAATTAATATATAGTGCAGTATATAATTACTACATTAGCCCACTCAAAGCGATCCCTGGACCCAGACTAAACGCAATTACTAAATTACCCATTCGATTACGAAGACCCGAAGGGAGAGTGTTTGACTGGTTCTATTCTCTTCACAGACAATATGGGCCAGTCGTACGTGTTAGTCCAAGAATGGTTTTATTTGCAGATAAAGACGCCGTTAGACAGATACTCGTGTCTGATGTATGTATAAGCATGTAAAAAATATATATATTATATACACTTAAAACATAATTACTCTATCTAAAACATATGTATAATTACTCTATCTAAAACATATGTATAATTAACTCTATCTAAAACGTATGTATAATTAACTCTATCTACTGTCTTTTTTATACAGGATCTCCCAAAAAGTGAAGAGGTCGTCAGAATAAGGGTTGACGCATCATTCCAAACTCTCTTCTCTGCAGATGACAAAACGTTTCACAAAACCAGAAAACGTTTATTATCTCCGGCATTCTCTGTCAAGTATACTTCTTCGCTCGAGCCATTCATGCATTCGTGTGTCCAAACCCTCGTAGGAATAATACACAACACAGTCATGAACAATAGCTCTGAGAAACCAACCACAGTAAACCTCTATCAGTACGTACAAGCAGCCGCTTTCGATATCATTGGCGAAACCGCATTCGGAGAATCGTTCAAATTATTGGAAAATGGTAAACATCCGTTACCAATTAAGGTATTTGAGGAACTTCGAAAGCGCGTACTACGTGCAACCTTCCCTTTCCTAAAACCTTTTTTACAACAAGACCCTTACACTGAAGAAGTAAGTATAAAGCAGCACGATTTTTTTTTTGGCACATGTTTGTGTATTTATTTATTTATTTATTTATTTATTTACATTCTCAATGCGCAGTTTGTCACAAAAATTATTCGAGAACGACATGCTCAAAATGCAAATGGAGTACGACGTCACGACATCCTTCAAATCCTCATTGATGCTAAAGATGAAGAAACTGGCAAGGGCTTAACCGAATTTGAAATATATGATCAAGTCATGGAGTTTTTAATCGCCGGTGGTGATACTACCGCATTTACAATCAATATGGCTTTAGTACTTCTACTTCAGAATCCGCAAGCACTAAGATCGTTAGTAGCCGAGCTGGACAAAACGTTTTCAGACGTCCGCGATCGAGACCAATCAAAGCCATTTGTTCCCGATCATGACTCTCTGAAACATCTTAAATACCTTAATGCGGTTATCAAAGAAACCTTGCGCAGATTTCCTACTGCTCTCGCTGGTGTTCTCAGGCAAACTAAAACCGATACTATAATAGGCGGATATTTTATTCCGAAAGATACTCTTGTTACAGCATCCTTTTATCAAGTTCAGAACTCCAAAGAGCTTTGGGGACCTGATGCTGAGGAATGGATTCCGGAACGATGGCTTGATGCCGACAGAATACCACGAAATTGTTTGTACGGATTTGGTGGCGGATCTCGTATATGCATTGGTCGACATTTTGCTTGGGCTGAAATGAGGATAATGTTAGCTTCTTTAGTGATGAACTTTGACTTAACCGTAATACCTGGTCAAAACCTGGAGTTGGTGCATTTTATTACTCCCTCTTTAAAGACAAAAAGGTTTGAAGTGGAGGTTCGTTTAAGATGAAATATTAGCAGGGAATATGAAGGATGCTCTAGTAAAAAGGACAGATTCGAACCAAAGGCCTCGAAATAAAAGTTCGGCGGCACGTCAAGTGGTTCAAGCTGTAGTCTAAGCTTCTTTATTGTATAGTACTTTGTTACTGAGTAACAATGCAAATCAATTAGCGGAGCAATGAGAAGCGGATCAGCATCGCGCCGGCGCCATGATGTGCGTATCAAATCAGCATGAGAATGTCTTTTCTTGAAAAACAAACAAACCCCATCATTTGGTTTCGATATTAGCTGTGCGCGTTTATTTGTAATAAAATTGTGATCAATTAGAGCAACTATTCTGAAATCTACGTCTGTAATAGTAAAGTTCATAGCCATTAATAATATTATTATCAACAAAACCAAATAAAGTTAAAAAATGGCCGATATGGCTAGAAAATTGATCAATGTGAATGATAAAGGCTTTTGTGGCTGTGGCTGTGGATAAAAATCATGGACCGCAGATATCAAAATGACCAATCCAAAACTACCATCACACTTGAATTTAGTACGTCCAGGTATCAAAATTTAATTCGATATACTAATACTAATACTTTAATAATAGCCGCAAATTATTAAGATCAAATGGTGGCATTATTTTTATTCTGTCCTCCCGCGTTATCACAAGTAATCTTTAATACTTTTCCCTTTATTTAATTTCTTAATCCCATCGAATACCATGCTCAGCGTACCATTAGGACCTTTGCTTATTATTGCGTTTTCAATCGAGAGCATAAATTAATTTGTTCGCGTACTGCTTTATCTTGTATACCGCTTTACGTGGACTAAGATAATAAATTTTACTTGCCTGTTGATTGGATGGGGAACGTGAACATTTTGCACTAAATCATAACTGTAATGAGCAATGGCATCAACGCTGCAATAACCAGCTTTTATTTCTTGTTATAAAATGCTCGTCTACTAATTTCCTCTGTTGTTCTGCTAATTCAGTCTTAAATGTTCTTTGTATTTTTCAGTAAATCTTGCTTTTTCTTCCTTACAAGTATTATACTGAAAGCCATTCTGAAAATGTTGGTATGTATTAATACATCATTGTATATGAGTAACATACTCATCTTCCGATGCGGGATCTGTTCTTGGGCCTACTCTACATTCTATTGTATCGCCCCCTAGTATCGGTCATCCTTTTGCCTCCCTGTGTACTTTGAACTATCTTAACAATGGTATCAGCCGAATATCGAACATCATTATTATACATCGCTTGCTGAGAATCAGCAACAATACTTTGTAATGCATGTCAATCGAGTGGCGTACTTACGGGTGTTGAAATCACGTGCTATCAATTGTGGTATTGATAGAGAATTTTTCAACGTTTCAAATAATGGCCTGAAATGCGGAAAAAAGAGCATCAGTTTGGACTGATTTGATTTTTTTTGACCAATAGGCTTTCGTATTTAATAACTAGCGGGGGTTTTTTAGTTACTATTAACGTTAATATTAATATTGATATTAATGTAAAATCATCACGCGTTTGTATTCACACCTTTTAAAAATCTAAAGTTGGTAAGCTGCTGGCTACAATCCAACAATACATCGAGAATTTTATAAACTACCATGTATACAGTAAGAATCGCATCGTCTTATTCTTAAAGTAAACGATCACAAAACTCCAAATCAAGGCATATTAAATACTAATACACTTGGAAAATAAATGATTGCAAAAGCCGTACTAATATCAGAATCTTAAGTATGATTTGAATTTACATATAACGATTGGTTTGATTCTTCGAAAACGCAAAATCGATCTTCGTCGTCAATCACTAATCCAAGAATCATATGTTCATGAAATTCACACATTCGTTAAATATAACTGTTGTCGAGGTGTGTACTAAAAATTGACACATAATATTATTAAGTACAATTTAAATTTCGATGTACTATTCTTCCAATTTTCCGGAATAGCGCAACAACCACGTGTATGTGTTTTCGGAAATGATCGACAAAAAATTATGGAGTTTTGCGTAAAAAAAAAAAAAGATAGATTTTGTTCACCCCTTGACGTCAAATCCGAAGAAAAGAGAGACAAACCTCAGGATGTCAATAAGACTAAAAAAGAAGAAAGATCAGCCACAAGGGAGATGTCCCTTCCCAAACTGAACAGGAGCCAGACGTGAAGGATAAATACTACAGTAAAGTAAATGAAGATAAAAGAGTGTTGATAGAGATGGCAAGAATATCGACGGGGAAAATAAAAACAACGCTGAGAAGAATACAATATGTAGAGAAGACAAATACGTCATTATTGAATTCGTCATCTATGGGTACAGCTTCAAGAGCGACTACAACTAGCTCCAAGTCAACTTGGAAGCCGAATCCATTTACTCCGGTGGGTGTTGTTGGGAACTTATCACCGAATAGACGGTTTTATTTTTCTTTGAACATAAAAATGATTATACGTTAAACGTATGATATGTATTGTTGAATACAGGCTACTCCCACATCGGCTACATCAAGCGATCATAACAAGTCGCTTCCGTAAGTGTGGACCGAGTGTGTTCTTACGTGATATGTTATCAAGCATGACTCAATAGGCCTCTTATTTTAAACATTTAATAGTCACCATTTTTTTAAGTCGGCGACAATTGAAAAGAATATCCACCTCCTTCCAAGGTAACTTTACACCTTTCCACAAGAGCAAGCCAATTAATCCTAGTACCATACGTAAGCAATTCAACTCTGAAGACTGACTTCCATAAACATAATATACATTTTTATTGATAACACGCTAATATTTGATAGCACCAATATGGCCATTTGGACAACGGCCATTCCGACTACAGAATGGAGTCATGGGTGTTGCCGTCAGTTACGGCTTATATCGAAATCCCGATGTGCAAGTTGCATTCGGTACCTTTCTGTTATTTATGGGAGTTGCTATTTCAATCACGGTGAGCAAAAAGTACCTGAGTGTATTAGTACTGCTCTCCCAGCTCGCAAGAGCCGGGGCAATCGTTCACTAAGTGCGCGGAGATCCTATTAAACCAAGGGTACTCTCGCGAGTAACAACCCTAGGGATGGTATTGAAATCACACAACTCGTTTGTCTTTACTTGTGTATATACAATTATAGTAACCGTTGAAATCTCCCTCTATTTGATCAGATTATGTCCAATTACCAATGTCTATCACTACGTCCGTGTCGTCGTCGCCATCATCATCAGCAGCAGCATTATCGACGTCACATCAACATCACACCTTGCGATAGTGTTGTAACATATTCTAATTATAATACCAACATCTTTCATTAATAATATTGATTTGTTACAGCATTTTGAATGGTACGCATATGTTAATATATTGATTGTTATGGTAGAGGCGAACACGGAATCTGAGATTATGTAGTGGTTATTGGGATTATTATTATAGGGGGCAGAGGGAAAGCTAGATAGAGGGAGATCTATGTTAGAGTATCAGAAGTGATGCGTGTGGGCATATATGCATTAGATAGCTGATTGCAATTAACGGTACATAATGCGAAGATATTAATATTTTTGTTAATATTATTAATATTAATTATAATGATAACATATAGTAAAAATCATTATTCATCCCAAATGCTTGTATGACTCTACAGAATCATCAAGCAATCTTTTAAAAAGTCGCTGACAGTTAGCAACTTGTGCGTTGTCTGAATTAACAGATTCGAAGAGCATTTTGAAGAGTGAGTGAAGGAAAGTGGAGAGTAATGTGGGGAGTAATGTGGGGAGTAATGTGGGAGAGTAATGTGAGAGTAATGTGAGAGTAATGTGAAAGAGTAATATGAGAGAGTAATGTGGAAGAGGTGCCACCAAGTTTTGTCAGGTCTAGCACCCCAGAAGCTAGTATTAACACCGTCTATATCGATTTCTTCAAGAAGCGTGCCTTTTTGTCTTCTTTTGTACAAGGCTTGTCCAATTTTTTCTAGAATATTTATTATTATTATTAGTACAATTTATTAATATAATGAAAACCAAGTCAAAACTGTCGGTTAACATTTTACGTACGCATCGATGGACAATATCAATACAAAACACGCTACATACACCCTCGTGAGTCGTGAGTCGTGAGTGGCGGCGTCATTTTGTAGACGCTAAAATATAAATAGAGTTATACTTCATATTCAATCATATTAATAAATGCAACTGAGTATCTTATACTTGATTGAAGCCTCACCTCTTTCTTTTCTTTCGCATAAATCTCCATAAATATTTTTTTCTAAAATAGCAAGATTATTAAATTGGTTATTAAAATAATGAGAGTGTTTTCATCAAAACCAGAACAGCGAAGCGTATGGCTTATACGTACTGAAAGTACAGAAGGCGAAATTTTAGATTTGTCTAAGCTCGGAAGGATGTTTGGTACCAACATGAACGTGAGGATCCAGTATTTTGTAGTCCGAGAAAGAGGCTTTTCTGTTGTCGAGTATGAATTTGAGATTCTGTAGCGTCGGTTTTGTGTCATTGCCAAGAATGCGGTAAAGCCTCCACTAGTGCTAGCTTGAGTTTATATTGATAGATTGATAAAGATTAGTAATTACACAGTTTGTGTTGACCATTCAAATTCTCATGGTTTATGATTACGTAACCAGAATACGCCACAAAAATTGATAATAAACTTAATCTTATGCTTATTATTATCTCCATCGTAATATATAACATAAATCAATCTGCGATTTGAATACGAGCCATCCTAAGAAGTTTAAAAAGTGCAGGTTTCTGGGCTCATGGGATGAGGTAAGATATTTTCTTACGTCAAGTAATCAGTAATGTATCCGAAGATACGCTGCCACTAGGTGTAAAAAGTCAAAGTTTTGAAATACTTCATGCTACTCGACATTCTTCACCAGGCCAAGGCTTGGTCAAGGTGTTGGTTAGTTAATATTAACCGCAATGTGTATGTATCTGAAGTTACGCTGTAAATCGGAGTTTTCGAAAGCCATCATCAGGATTATTATTTATTTCTCTATCTAACGCGTTTAGTGAAATTTCCCCAACAAAAAACTAATTGCAGATAAGTTTTTAATATAAATTGTGGCCTTACTGTATAGCTTTAGTGCTATGGATATTATTGAAAAGAATAAGAGAGATAATCAGCATATGTAATGGCTGTTTCTTTGAGTTTTCGTTTTTTTTTCTTGGTTCATCGTTAATGCTCATTAATTTACGTTCTTGATAAATTTCATAAACGATTTTTTCTTTATCTAGATATTCCTCGAGAATTTGGTATCATTGATTTAAAAACACAAGGGACAATTTTTCTCCTTGGGTTTTCTTTAATAGTGCTGTAATAGTAATTCTTTGGTTACATGGTGGATTTGATGTTTCATATTTATATCATTTTTAATACAAAGATTATCCTATATTAATATTCATCTCAGCCAATTTTAAGTGTTATTATCATACGTCAAAACGCCATCAATCACATTGGTTAATTTACAGCCAGCCATTTTGAGTTCAGATGATGAAATGTTCACTTTGTTTGGTTGTGTTGCAGTCTGCCCCAAACAATGTTTGCCTTATCAGTAATCTTACGTAAAAAGTCTTGGATAATGCTGTAAGCAGGTAATAATCGACACTAGGAATTTAGCTAGTTTCGGCAGAGCGTGGCGTCTCCTTCTCTACCTTGTCCAATCAAGGCTTTGCACTTACGAAAACCTTCCCGTCGTAGAGTGACGCTAATCCTGGATATATTAATTGTACTCGAGTAACTCTGTCGGCTCCTAAGATGGGATTACTTCCTAGTCTACGTTGGGGTACAATAGTATTTTAATTATAATATTACATAACAATTAATTATCGTAATTTGCCACTCGAATAATCGCGGGATTATTCTTCATCGATATAATAATAAGGATTAGCGGTTTCTCAGCTATATCGATAAGTTACCAGGGAACGAATCATTGGTAATGTATTTCAGAGTATAAAGAGCTACTCATTTATTTACAATAAAGGAATCAGAACATTCTAAGGTTAGTTGTGATTGGGACGAAGCTTTAATGTCAATTACATCAGCAAGTATATATTTATGATTGCAACGATTAAGAATCTGCAACATTGATATCAAGTGATCCAAACACAATAGATATCTGCCACGGTGTCACGAGTCAGTTGTAAGTCTGCCATTTCATCATTAGCCTATGTAGAATTTATTACTATGGCCTCATTCATTGTCAGTAAGACAATTCCAACAAGGCCTCCGGAGTCAAGGCTGGGAATAGAGCATAGAGCATAGAACTAAATCTAATTAATATAATTATGAAAAAGTACGGACAGCAGTGTTTGCAATTGATAATGTGGCTCTTTTGCAATTTGAACCAAAATATTATAAGGAACTGAAAAAGAAAAGTGCAAGAGTTAAAACTAACCGACTCACACAGAAAACTAACACAAAAGCTACTGTTATTTTTTTGAGTGTGGAATATTTAAAAGATTGCAAGCAAGTGATAAAAATAAAACCAGACTTTAATACAATTTGGTGTTCAATGATTCTCAAGACCTCTTGTAAATTTTCACAGCTGTCTAGTTATTGCAGCATGCTCCATACAATAATAATCTGCTCTGCCAGTTGATTATTTCAATAGTATGTCTGTAAATTTTATTTACTTGCTAGCATCAAATTTGTCCAAGCCCAAGTCTATGGAATTAAATATCGATCTGTCTTTTTGAAAAATAAATATGAATAGGAAACAGATGTTGCATTGTATTAGTAACTGGGCAAAGTTACTAATACAATGACATTTTACCATCAAACGCTTGTTCCGAACGAAAGATGCTGATGCCTTGGATACTCGTCGATGTTTATGGTGCCATTGCGCTTCTGAGTTCAGTATCATGAATAATAAGTGTGTGAAATACCGGTAAGTGAATTCTTGATCCTTCCTAACAATAAAGAGTAGTTTGATGTAAATTCCTAGTACCACAGAGTACTTGTAAACATTAATCGCTGTGAGATAGTAGTATAGTTATTGCAAACTTAGTTTACGTGTTTGAAAGCTTTATCCAATATATTTTTTGTGCAAACATTGTATTTGACGTTTGGACATGAAATAAAATTCGCAACAAAAAAACTTCTTTTGCACATGCAAACCTTAACCACATAATGACTATGTCGCAATCTATATTATATTTGTGGAACGAGCTGTAAGAATGCCATATGCCAGCCGAGACTTTTCATCTACGTTTCGGTTTGAGGTTTCCATGATCATGACCATATATCCGATCACCACGAAACGTAATAGTATTATCATTATGATGAGCGTAGCGATCGTAAATAAACATATGCTATATTCGTGTTAGATCAAAAAATTTGCGTCATAAAATGTCATTCGCGGTTAAGAACATATGATGCATTCTTTGATCGAAAACCAGTTATATAACAAACGAATTGGAATACCTGTCGGCGAGTAAAACAAAACAAAACAAAACAAGACACAGAAAAACCTGATTATAACTTTTCGATAAAAATAAATTCAAAGCGATAATGGAACCATCACTATTCCAAGGTGACGATAAGACTGCACCTCTCACTGGAGCAACTCAGGAAGGCGTTGCTCAGAAGACAGAATCTATGATAGACACGGCCATACAAGAAGCTGGCTCGTTGCGCGATAAGACTAGGGATGTGGTCGGTAAGACTAAGGATATGGCTGCGCGTTCTACAGAGTCTGTGAAGAAGACCAGCAAAGGGCTCGTCACCAATCCCGGAGAGTACTTGAAACCAGTTGCCGAAAAAGCCGGTTGGTACTGGAGCAACCTTCCGTTTGTTCGTTGGTTTACTTACACGGCGAGCATCTTCAGCTCGGTTCCGATTGCGATTTTTGTTTCTTGGCTGGCTATTACTGGCCTGATTGTGTTTTCTATCGCGAGCATAGGATTCTTAATTTCTGAAGGATTCTTCTTCTTGCTGGGCGGTGCTGTATTTGTGCCTGTTGTTGGATTTGTACTCGTTGCTGCTCTAGGCACTGGAGCCTTCTTCTCTTTCGCCTACTATGGGCTCCGGGCGTTCAAGTATGTGACTAACCGCGTATTAACTGCTCTGGGCCTCTTGTCTAAAGAAGTGGAGGTGGATTCTCATGGTGTGTACGTTGGTTACAAGAGAGGCATGGGACATGTTTACGATACGAGATAATAATGTTATAAATATGCATAAGAGTGTGTTTGTTTTGATTGAAAGCGTTGGAATGTATGTAGTAAAGAAAAAAAACCCTCTTTGTTTTATTATTAATCAACGTTACAACAATAAAAACCGCAAATTTGACTTCCAACCTTGACTACGACTATTCTAATAATCATGAATTGACAGAGACATTGTTATTTATTAATGATTCGCATACTAATGAATGAACAATATTTTATATGTTATACGAGGAAATGCATTTTGAAAAAGAAAGCTCATCCTTGTGGGTTGATAGTTTTTGAAAAGGACAACTGGTTTACCATCATTTGAATTAGCCACAAAGCTATTGCGTTCTATTTACTTTTGTGGGTGCGAAACCAGCAATGATCATCGAGCGGGCTTTCCCACATTCAAAATGCCTCACGTCAAGTATCAAACATGCAGTTCAGTTTTCATGTGCGTCTTGTTTGTTTGTTTATAAAAACAATTAATGGGTTTACATTTTTTGTTTTGGGCGTAGTATTTATAGCATTGTGAAACTGGCAGCAGTTGTACAGTGGATTATTCAATATGGAGGGGATTTCATTTAGCCGACCTTAAGTATTTATTCATATTTATTCATATTTATTCATAAAACCTTAATCATATAACAATAACAATCGATGCCTATCATTCTTACAGCTTATAGAGCATAATGATGATCAACCCGGGTGGACTTATAGAAACAGTCCGTTTTGTTCGCAGTTATTCTCTAACCACGCTAGCAACGTTTCAACTTCTTCGGATTGGCGATCATCAGGTGGTAATTCTACATCGTTACCGTTTACCGTCGCGCCATCCAAATCTAACCTCAATAGACCCACCAGCTCCTGTATGTTCCATTTGTATTCTGACGGAATACGACCCCACAAAATACTGGCTACTTGGGAAACTACTGGCATCGGGACCTTTCCATGGTGGGTTTCCAATTGCCGCTGTACACGTCGTCGATATAATAAAAAGACTTTGGAGGGATCGTAAGGAGGTTTTAACTTGCGGTGCGTCTTCTTCGGCTTCGACTTGCGACTCCCCTTGGATGGATCGACGTATACGAATTTCTTCACCTTACCCATCTTACTCCTACAAAGTAGATGGGGAGTGGGGATTATATATCTGAAGGATAATACAGCGCCTCAACAGCACATCATACTTGTTTCATTTAATTCGATTATTCTTTCGTTATGTCTTTATGTTTTTTGTCTTGCTTGTATGTCGAACATAGAATATGGGCGCAGTAATAGTCAATAGAATTTGGTTAATTGAAGGAATTATTTTACCGTGTTCAATCAGGACGCGTAGTCGTAACAATTGTTCAATTGTTGTCAGTATACTGGATATTTGTCTAACGAATAATTTTTCAATAGATTACTGCCTTATCTGGGACATTTAATTCGATTACTCTTTCTATTGTTTTGTCTTGCTTATTACAATATGAGCGTAGTAATAGTGACATGGGTTTGGTTAATTTAAGGAATTCTTGTGCCGTGTTTAACTAAAATATCTGCCAGACGCGTAGTTCGTAACAATTGTTCAATTGTCCGTGCGTTGTCAGCATGCTGGATATTTGTCTGATACCGGGGACGAAACAAACGACATATAAATTTCTGCCTTATTTGGGACAGAGCAGACTGAACGCCTTTCTGCATTTCCATTGTACTTTTTCATGCGATATACTGCACATATGCAGTTTTTCGTCCGGAAATTTTGTGTAACGTCTAAATTCGGATCCAACATGCGATTAAAGGGACCGGGCAGTACAATGAGGATGACTAATCCTTTTGTGACTCTGCTTCCATTGATCTTCTTTAACAAGGTAGTTTTCACTACTAATCTCATGAGTCAAAATGTGTGTTTCTCCAATAAAAGCGACGATCTCCTACAGGGAAAACAGACATCAACGCCACAAGCCCAACCACATCATGTATTCGTTGACGTTAATATATATCCAGTTTGGTTTCTCTCTTCCTCGTACATTAATGACATGTCTAGTGTAATTAAGCGAAATACGTGTATAACATAGATGATCAATCAATGGAGTATTGATTTTGCATGTTTGATTTATATGCCATAGGAGTCGCATGTTAGTCGATGGTTACTATTTGCTCTTGCCAATTAACTATAGTCGTAAAGTCAATATTATTGACATGTTCTTCTTCAGAGATGCTTTCATTCATGAACAGTTGGAAGCTTGATACATTGTAAATTCATTGATCTTATTATTTTACAAATGTTTATACAAGTAAAACCCGTTATAATAAAGTCGTCGGGTCGGACCAAAACTCTATTGTAACGAACAATTTCTTTTAACGAATTTTTGCGATATAAGAAGGTTTTATAATATCAATAAAAAATTTTCTTTTATAGTGAGTAAAAAGACTGACTGTGGATTTGCCAATATTAAACTTGTTCGCTGAATCATTGAGAGTAAAACGCATATTTTGTTGTTTCACTCGACAAAGTTTAGCCTTCTAATTTCCTGTTAACGTTCTTCTTGTTGTTTTGCAAACTTTATCTTTTCGTTTTCTCTTTGCTTAGGTTTATTTATTCGATGTGTTACAGGATTGCATTATGTAAGATTTATTTCTAACAATTCCGTCAGGAATATAAAGAGTGAATAAGCTAGTAAAAAACTTTATTGTTATTGGATTGCTCTTATATCGGGCATAACATTTCTTTTATCGAACGTAACTTTATCGAAACCATATAAACTTATAATTAACATAGACATTGTTTCTTATATAGTGGTCTTATTTGCGGCCGCGAGTAATCATATTGTTCATATAAACCGAAAAAACGAAAAACGAAAAACGAAAAAACGAAAAAACGAAAAAACGAAAAAACGAAAAAACGAAAAAGCGAAAAAACGAAAAAACGAAAAAACGAAATAAAATGTAAACAGTTTTAATCCCTTCCTACCAGAAAATTGGAGAATCGATTGCTTGGTTACTTTCCATCCAAGTCAACAATACATCAATTTCTTCACTCAATTCAGACTGATGCGGCGATTCTGCATCGCAAGCTGTTTCTTTACTGTTATCAGCGTCTCGCTTAAGGGCCTCCAACTCCAATTTTAACGCATTTATCAACTTATCACTGTCCCACTTGTAAGCCACTGGAATCTTCTGCCATAAGTTTGAAGCGATCTGCGACACTGCTTGCATTGGGATCTTTTTGTACTGCTTCTGTAGTTTGAGTTGGATTAGTTGCCTGTACAGCATGAACGCCGATTCCGTTTTTTGTTTGGGCATTTTTGGCTTCGACTTGCTGGGTTTTGGATAAGGGTTGTAAAGGACGATTTTCATTTTCATGTTTATTGCAACACTTTTTTAAATAAACCGATTATTGACGAACGATACAAATAATATTAATATCTCGAAATCGATTTGGGCCATTCGTAGACTGAGACAAATGGAGTGTTTATATACTTGTTTTCTTTCGTTTATATCTTTGTGTTTTTTGTCTTGCTTATTCGTCGAACATACAATATGAGCGTAGTAATAGTAACATGGATTTGGTTAATTTAAGGAATTCTTGTGCCGTGTTTAATTAAAATATCTGCCAGACGCGTAGTTCATAACAATTGTTCAATTGTCCGTGCGTTGTTAGTATGCTGCATATTTGTCTGATACCGGGGACGTAACAAACGACAATCAATTTCCGCCTTATTTGGACTGGGCGCCTTTCTGCATTTCAATTGGTCTTCTCATGCGACATACTGCACATATGCAGTTTTCGTCCGGACAAAATCTGTGTAACGTACTAAATTTCGGATCCAACATGCGATTAAAGGGACCAGGCAGCTGTATAATGACGATGGCGCCAATAGTCTATTCATTTCTACTCCTTTTATGACATTCAAAACCCCGCCAAACCCCGCCAAACCCCGCTGCCGTACTGCGTCGCCAGTTTTATGGGTCAATTTTTTCCCTATTCACATACCCAATAATTTATTTGTGTAACAGTGCGCGTGTATTATTAATCATAGGTGCGGATTATAAAAGGAACATAAATCTGACTTTCGTTTGTATAGATTCAAAGCAATTCATTATTATTACTAATGTAGTCCACAAGTAAGAATGGTCTAGTTTTTTCCTTCAAAATCTACTAATATCCCGACCAAACACAAATGTCAAGAACCTACATATTGTAACGTAAAACAATTAGATTAACAGTGGAGAAAAACGTTCTAGAAAACGCAGTAAAACCTACCAATACATCGGAATCAATATTCTATTCCGTAACGAGACCGTCATAGTAAGATATGCCGACCTCCAAAATATCCAAGCAAGCATTCCGCTTTCTTTAGCTCTCGGATCCACGGCTGTCATATCTACCAGCGCTTCTTTTTGCCCTATATATGCTAGACTAATCAGTGTAGCGTTGAAATTAGATTACGGGCGGAAACAATAAAAAGACAGCTGGAGAGGGTATGAATCTTGGAATTAGCTTGTTACCTTCCCTGAGCAGAATGGAACATGTTCGCATTAGTATTCGAATAAACTCTTTAACAAAGGATGACGCTATCACAGAGAAGAACACTTACCATATTAAAGAATTTGAATGGCTTGACTTCAGCCAATGGGTCTCGTCCGAGTTTATTAATCACTAAAGAACAACCCAGATTTCCATAATATTTTCAGTTCCTTTACTATCATTTTTTTTTCCTTTTTTCCCCCCCAAAAATAAATTATCCTTACGCTTTCTCAAATAAACCGCCTTCTGATTCGCAACCTGCGCTGTAGCAGGTAAATCATAATCTTTTATCGTCGCACAATCTCCGAGGGCATATACATTCTCTATCGGTGCTCCGGTATCCTTGTCTAGTACTTGCAGATAATGATCTGTCAAGAGGCGCTTGGCAGACTGATCCTTCATTATTCGATCACCGACTGCGCGAGTGAAAGGATTGTCTGACAGGCCGGTTGCCCAGACTAGCAGACTGTTTAATCAAGTGACTGCCCGGTTAGTATTAGGGGGGAGGGGAAAAAAGAGCAATATACAGACACGATAACGAAAATTCAAGCTGTCTATTAGCAACATACCCGTATGACACCTCTTTTTCTCCTTTGATAACTAACGTTCTCTCCTTAACCTCCAACACTCTACGCTTGGTCTTAATACGTATCCCTTTTCTCGTGAATTTTTTCGCGGCATATTCGCGTAGCCCGACATCAAATGATCCAAGAATTTCTGGAGCGACGTCATAGACGGTCATTCTTGTTTTTGCCATCAGTTGTGGATATAATCGGGCCATATCTTCCACGATAAAGTCATGTCTATGTTATTTATATCGAATCGGATTAGTGAGTTTAGTATGGATAATAAAGGATAGCATTTGATGTGCCAAATGGTATAGTTACTATAATCACAGCCAACTTTTGCTCCCTCAGCTAGTCGCCAATCTCGCCTGACGTTGACACTATTTTCATCTCTCTTTTTCCTCGTATCCTAACTTCAATATACCTACAACTCTGCACTGAATTCAATCCCGGTAGGTCCGCCACCGACAACAACAAAATGCAACGCTCCAAAAATTTCCTCGTCCGTAACGCCCGGCTGAGAAGCATGTTCAAAGCATTCTATTACACGCTGGCGGATCCTCCGCGCATCTGAGATATCCTTTAGAAACAACGCGTGATCACCTACACCAGGAATGCCAAATGTGTTGGAATTGGCGCCGACTGCGATGACGAGATTGTCGAATTCGATAGCGAACTTGTCGCGTTTTCTCTCGAGATTTGATGTGCAGTGAATCGTGTTTGTAAGCCAATCTGAGTGATAAAAAATATTAGAGATGAGAAAGTCGCCTTCTAGGTATCGAATATGATAACGAGTTGTCAAAACAAACGCTCTGCTCAAAAACGTTAATTATTCGCCAAAGTTCTTTGAAAACTATCTCTTATGCAGTATCATACATTATGGCTGTGAAAATTTGCGTAATGACTTGAAGTATAGAATTATTTGCGAAATGCTCAGATGCAAACTAACTGCAATGGCAAGTTTTCGAAATACGACAATTTTCTAGCATTCTTTGGCGACTGATTAATGGCTTGGAATGTGGCACTTATGTGTGCAATTACAATAACCTCATGCATCACACAATTACTTCATCAAACTCTTGTTCTTTTGCAACACATCTCTTGAAAATGATCATTATACTCACCAACACTATCGGCATACGCCTGGTAAAACTTCACATTGGACAAGTATCTTCTTACTGGCTCGGTAATGCATCTAAACTCTAATGTACCGACTGACGTGCTAGCGAGTAGTGGTGTGAATACGAAATAATTCCTATTAAAATCACAGATTTAGCTTGGTTAGTGAAGCACACATGCAAAGTAGACTAGTTACAGAATAGAGAATAGTGACCTTGGAGAAATAACTACAACTTCATAATGTTTCGTGTCGATGTCTTGGAGAAGTTTATAGCCTGCGACAAAGAATATTCGGACAGATCGATGAGCGAACAATGAAGATGATAGTCGATCCTGACTCGATTCCACTACAATTACCTGCCCATCCTGAGCCTGCACTCGCCATAAAAAAAACTTTAGTTATTTCGCTCTTGTTCTATCTCTTTTATTTTTTAATCATTGATTTATTTTATTATACAGAATTTTTTTTCTTCTTACCAAGTATTATCAACCGTCCTAACGTGAGAGAATCAATGAGTATTACAGGCGGGAACTTTCATGAGCGATTCAAATAATTTATCTTTGATCAACTTACCTTGGGTCTTTCCAATGGATTTGATGGTCCGTATTTGAGTGTTAATTGACGGTTTGTCAATACCAATGGGAGAAAATAATGGCCTTCGAGGATGGAAATATCGGGGGAATAATCTATGCAGAGGCAGTTGAAATTGAGGTGTTCTCATTTTTTGCTGGATTGGTAATGTTGGTCTTGTTATTCTGGAAAACAGATCGAAGCTATCGATATTATAAATAGACTTTGGTTTGCTATTAATAGTGCATTTATTTAGACACATTTTGGCAGTATCAAATAAGATTAGCGGCCTGAGCTAAACGATGCAAATACATCATCATTAAAGTTTCAGGGGGTCAATACTAGTAAAACGCCACCATAATAATCGATTGGGCAGCCACATCTCGGAACATGTGATTGTTATGACACGACACTTGGATACATTCACATTACCGCGCTCCTGCATGGCACTTCACCAATTAATTGAAACACTATTCATGCACATGTCCAAAATGCAGTGACCATCGAATAAAGGCAACAGTACGTCTAGCGCATTATTATTATGTTCCGTAAGCAATCAAAACTAATTAGATCATTCACACGTAGGTAATCCCTTGCCCCGTTCTCCTTAAGCCTAACATGGCATTCTTACAAATTGTGTTTTTTCCCTTACCGTGTTTACAATACGATCTTCCTACAAAACGTAACCGACGAGGTGATCTTTGATACAGCGCAAGAGATAATCAATCTGTAGATGATTGCCAAAGTTATAGATGTCAGAATTGGTTTTGATTCCTCCCAATTCTCAAGGCTGCAGAAGTATGTAAAGTTCATTAGGATTCTCCTGTTCGTATAACATTGTAAAGAATGTGAACATTCTGTACTTGTGACTTTGTGATACCGGGGCAGAGTCGAAAAGATTGTCCGAGTAGAAAGGGGCCTACGAAACAAAGTGCTGAAATTTGCCAATCAGCAACTGCGTATAAAATACAATATTAAGACCTAAGCAATTAAAATCGTCACATATGACGCGTTTTACTCAATTAATAAAAACCCTTTCCATGATACTTGATTATGAGTAAGTATGTTCCATACATGTTTGATCCGTTTGCAATCTACCGAGTTCTGCCTCAGTTATGTGTAATAAAGCAGTCTGCATAGTTCTGCATGAGAAGTCTGTGGTGATTATCGTTACAACGAGATGCAAAAAAAAATCACAAAAGCTTCTCTGATTTGTCTGCAGGATTGATTCAAGCTTTTTATTATACTCTAAAAAAGTTTAATGCAGGGGTCTCGTCAATACACATTTGACATGATATGAACAATATTAGTGATACCTTTAATATAAACATACGAGTCATCTGATTGCCTAAAAAAGCGTCTGTGACCGAGGATAATTCTCACTTTGTGGGACGGGAACACTCATTAATGCAGTGCTTTTTCCCATGCAAGTTGCAGTTATTCAGCAAAAAAAAAGGTTGTTTTATTAATGTGCAACGAGAAATGGTCAGACAACACTCCTTTGGATAATTCCGGCGGGTTTAGCACCGATAATTCCTTCACTTGGTCCATGGAAATTTTACAGACATGTTCTTCATAATACGGCAAAACGTTTATTACTCTATAACTTATCTTGTTACTATTCCTCTCCATTATTTTGACTGTCATGTATTTTTAATAAAAATCGCGCAAGTTACAAAGTTATGTAACCGAGTTTTGCCGATGTTGCATTCATAAGAATAGAGCGCACAAACGGGTTATATTAATATGCCTTTTATGATAAACGCGTATTTCGGAAAATAATAAGGTGCATTCTACACAGTCGACGGGCCGGTTTAAGTTATTTTGTCGAGGATACTACGTTATTTATATTGTAAACTGTGCCGACATTGGTATTATATCAGATGAATCGCGTGAACAATGTCCTCTACTGTTCGTGTATCATTAAATTGAACTGAATTTTCAAGGTTTACATATTCTTCTCTGTATCATGTTTTGTATATAACTGGTTTAGACATATTCTTAACATTAAGGTTAAGATTACTTATTCTTTAAATCTTAAGTATTGCACCCATGAACTCCATTATAGCACGAGTTTATTATAGTTGATAACATGGAATTTACGATGTATGCCATAAATTCACTCAATTGATGGCTAGTAATTAACACTGAAAGACTTGGTCACAAGCTTTACAAATGTAATTGTTACAAATATAGTCACCAGTAGCTTGACGATACTGCAGCAACAAAGTCTTAATGGTGACAAAGGCCTTACTACCAATGTAGAGTTGCAATTTTATTTCAAGACATAGTGGTTGCCACGCGAGTTGCTATACAAATCTATTATTCTTCTTTTAAAATGCAATTCTGTTCTATTGTAACAAGCTTCGTCTGTTAAGTCAGATTAACTGACACGTGATCGAATGATTTGATTATTAGTAGCATTGATTTCTATAGAAACGTCCGATGGCATACTCAAAGTTTTTTATAAGCAGTCATGCAAAATCATCTATCTGACTAATTCTGGACTCGTTCATAACCGTCAATAGAATTCTTATTAACAAAAGTATTCTATATCGCCGAAATTGGGGGAGGAAAATACATTTAATACCAATGACCGATAAAATAATAATGTAGACGTGCTTTGTTCAAGGTATTGTTTAGCTTATAATTTTGAGTTGTAAGCTTTCCGACAATTTGAATGTTTTGGTTTGCAAATTCCGTTACTATGTTATTTGCAACTAGCAGACATAGACAACGTATAAAAATAAATCGCTTTTCATGTAGCCTAAATACAACATGGGAAATCCAATAGTTTAGTCCAAGAATGTTGTATCACTTGAGGAAGAATGGAAAGATTGAGAATGACAGTATTTTGGATACCATATTAATATCACTATCCGGAATCACGCTTTCGGAATGCCGCCGTAAAAGGCCCCATTCGAGCCGAATAGGCAGGTGCCGGAATACCACACACATTAATCTTTTGTGCTTTACTACTACTTATCACTGGTTTGTTTTTGGGTGTTTGATTTTTTGTCCCGATTTTTGAAAGGCGCATAAAACATAAAAGGTCATAAAAAACCCTGCACATTGATATGTTTACCTCACGCGATAATTTAAAGTAGACTATCGCGAGGAACTTTTATTCACATAATTTAAGTAGACAGCTCCGTTAATTAGTAAAGTACACCTGTGTGATGTAACACAATAAACTATATGTCGTTAGCATCGGGGACTGTTAATAATCCAGCAATTGACAACTTGGTTCGAGAAAGTTGCCATACCCCAATATTTGAAATCATCAACATAAAGCCAACTCAACTTGACAACGTCTACTATGCTATTCGCCACCTTTTAGAGATAGGCTGATCTTGATAAGCGTCTGGATGCAGAGACACTTTTGGAGAGGTGGAGAAGGACAATTCTGACAACACGTGGAATTCCGTTTATTATAATGATGTAAAACCCCTATCACGTCTCGAAAAGGAGAGTAAATATTCTTACCTACGGAGATCTGCCTAAACAATTTCCTCCCTTATCAGATTTCAACTGGCCAGGTTTAGAAGTAGAGTTAGGGGGAGTTGAGGAGTAAGGGAGATAGTTTGGATTAGTTAGTGGCAGTTACGAAGGGGAGATCATTTCATCGACAATCATTTCACCGACAAATATTTACCAACATTATTTCGCAGTTATCCTTTTTTAGTAGTTAATTGTCGGTGAAATGTACTGTCGGTGAAATGATTGTCGATGAAATAATACGGACCCGTTACGAAGACATCAGTTGGTTCTGTTCATATAAACGAAGTCAATCTACAACATGTGACTCAAGAGTAAACTTGTAATTCACAGGTTTTACTACTTTTCCAATTAAAGTAAACATTGAAAACCAATTATCTAAAGTTTATGAGCTCGGTTGTCAATGAAGCGGATTATCTTGCTCAACTCTTCACCGTGATTGCCTTATTTGGACATTGAAAAATTATATTTAAAACCTTGCTTGATGCGATACCACTTCATGACTAGAAGATGGCGATAAAGAGAGCCCACGCCTGCTCAAAATCTTCCGATTGACTGACACTTCTGTAAGAACTAAATCTTTGTTGGTTCATTCCCTGCCTATCACGCGAGTGATGAACCATCAATCCACTCACATCCCTCGAGGATCTATAGCCACATTTTCCAGCATAGCCTTAACGCGTAATGATGCAAGTTTAAAGGTATACAACAAAAATAAAACTTGCCAACACAAGTGTGCCGCTCACACAATAATAACTGTTTGCTTTTCTTACAACTAGTTGGTGTATACGAAAAACAACCGTCGAACATCTCTTCTTCTTCTTTTTTCTTTTTTTGTTTTAGGAAAATATTTTGTGGCATATGTTTCGAAGATTACTCGGAATCAATCCTGGAACAATTTTCCTCTCCAAGACTAGATACCCCACAATAACTCCTTTCCATGAGCTTTTATTCTCTTCCTCTATATTAAAGACAGCTTAAACTGGGCTGCGAATAAAAGTTCCTCGTGATAGAAGTTATCCAAGTCTTTCATGCACATTTCGTAATATGCAAGCTTTTATTGTCAGTGTGCATGGTTTTAGCGTTCTAAGATAAAATAGGAGAAAAGGCACCAATTATTACGAGCGACAATTGCTGCGGATCAAATACTAATTTAGCTAACTCTCTTCTCCCTTATAAGCGGGCACGATCATTGACATTGTCAAACTTGTATCCTGGCGTCACTATCACTATTGTAGTCACATTTTTATGCTTAAAAGCTAATTCAATAGAAATCAATATAATCATACAATTGTCTTATTATGAGGGACGCAGTACAAACACATTTTTGCATATAAAAACCACAATTGACCACTTTGGAATATATAAAAGTGACGTGGAAAAGGGAGTTAGATATTTGTACAATTTGTCGAGTTATCGAGGAGGAGAAGAAGAAGGAAAAAAAATACATTGTATTATCACTGTTAAAGTAAGACATTTATATTTAGCAAAAAAGCATCACACGAATAGAAAGGGAATATATCCCTAGTACTAGAGAAGGTGTTATTATGATATCGTACACATTAACATACTCATCCTTCTCTCTGCTTTCACACCATCGTAGGCTCCAAATATCAAGCCAGCTATACCGTGTGCCCTCTATAAGCAAATATACATATGCAAATCGTATGATTCAAGTTTCCCCGTCCACTCTGATCACTTTTCATAAACACAAAAGCCCTTGTCTTATTATTAAAAGTTATTGTTGGTAAGGACAATTGCAGAAATCATTCTATTTTCAATTGAACTTGCCAAACAATCACTCGATTCGGAGAAGAAGAACAACAATTTGGAAACAGCGATAACTTGTCAATTGTTTGATAGGACTTTTGACTCTTTAACGTCGATATCTTGGTATTAATAACATTGTTTAATTAACGAGGTATTAAATGAACCAATCGCAGCCGAAAACCTTCTACCAGCCAATGGTTTCGACGAATATTCACAATACGATGCAACTGAATGATTCTATGACGTCATTCACAGGAACATCAACAAGTCCAACTGTGAATATGTATAAATCAATGGCAATGCAACAATTCTTGACTGCACAAAATTCACGTCTTTACTGTCAGCAGCCATTAAATTATCTACAGGGTCCAGTTTATCTGTATTCGCAGATCAACGACGACGAGTCAACATGGCATTCAGATCCACAGCCTTATTTCCAACCTCCACCAAATCAGACATCGCTCATTGATCATAGCGTTCAATTGATCAAACATGAGGATGAAGATCGGTCATCCATACCGCAAGTCCACTCATCAACGCCGCAAGTCCACTTATCAACGCCGCAAGCCCACTTATCAACGCCGCAAGTCCACTTATCAACGTCGCAAGTCCACTCATCAACGCCCCAGCCGATATTACCTGCTCCCGCACCCTCTTCTACTTCGCAGCAGGCATTGAAACACTTTGCTCCCCGCAGGAATCCAAACACTGTGCATTTCAAACACCGCTGCACTTGGTCAGGCTGCATATGGTCTTTTAAGCGGCTCGAGCATCTAAAGAGACATATGATAACTCATACCGGAGAAAGGAAATACCAGTGTGACTTTCCAGGATGTGGGAAGCGTTTTGGCAGATCTGATAATTATGCCGCTCATCGTAAAATACATACACGAGATACATCTGAAATTGTGTTGGTGGATAGAACGAGTGTGAGACAGAGTGGAGATTTAGAGGCCGAGGAATAATTGCGATAATAGTTGGCATGTTGCAAGTCGAAAAATTCTGGAAAATACAAACTAGCATTACCGATAGTGAATCTCGATCTATTCCATTTCCGTGCGTTACTGAGACGGAGAGTTGGTGCAATTCTTTTCTTTTCCGAATCAATTAATCATTTTTCTCTAGTGGAAGCCAAATAATTGTTTCTAATAGACCTGTGGTTAATAGTGGATATATTTGAATTTAGCTTGGAATATTCGCCAATCGATTCATGTACTCAATATAATGTGATGTAAACATTTCCTCCATTGAAGAGTTCATAAAGAATAAATATGGGAATGGAAGAGTCGAACGGTGAGAAGCGGGCGTAATAAGATAATCAAATTTTGGAAGACCTTTTTGTTTGTTTGTTTGGCCAGCGGATTGCAACCTTATTTTCGCATACACTTTTCTTCCATCGATGTGCAACTTTTAACATAAAGACTTCTACCAGATTGCTTAATTTTCGTTTAGACCGATTATTCAAATTTTGTATAGATGCGATGCCCGAAATCGATTTAACAGTAAAGTTGCTGGAAGAAACGCTTTGCTGACGATTATCGATCTTCCAAGTGCCAGGTATTGCTGTTACAAGGAGGAGCACAAAACATGTTCGTATATTGCAAAAGGTTTTTTAATTGTGGTCGGCAGAAATTACATTCATTAAATTAAGATAGTACTATGTTAAATCGATAGCAAAAGGCCATATAAAAGTACAGTAAATTAAGTATAAAAATTTTCTAAAAATTCCATAACCCCATTATTATAACCAAAACTCATTATTGACATTATCTGTGCTTCCCTCTCCATTTTGCTCTTCCCACATTACTTTACGGCTATTAACGTCAGTTGCCGGGAACGCCCTTTTAACGCGAAAATGCGGACCGTTAGTCAGCTTTTTTAAAGACCTCTCTCTGTGAATAGTCCTATCTTCAGTTGAGGTATCTTCTTCCTCTTCATCATCATAATCATCGTCCTCGCCGTCGCTATCATTGTCATCGATGTCATTTCCGCCAATGGCATACACAAAATTACGTTTACGGGGGGCAGAATAATCGCGAAAGTCTGCACCTTTGTGAAGGGGCGTGAACCTGACGAATGCGCTGCTTAACGCGTCGCTGACATGTTGAGAGAGTAAAGAGAACCGACGGTTCGAAGTTTGATATGAAGCAAAAGATTCGCGGCGCGTTGGTGGTGACTGTGGTAACTGGGTTTCTACCTGATGATTGGCAGTTGATTCTTGATCGTTCTTGGTTACTACAAACGGGATGTTAATATCTTTGACCGCTCTCTTGATGAGGACGTTGTATACGTGCTACAGAAATGCAAGGGGGCATAAGTAATGATGACAAAGAAAACAATGGGAGGAAATTAAGCTGTAAAACGCTTACTTCTTTTTCGACTCGGAAGAAATTCCATTGGAAGCGGCTTTTTCGTTATTGAGTTTTTGATAAAAGTGTTAATTAATTAGTACGTAAAATGACTGATATCGTATTCGAGCTTTTTAAATTCAAACTTAAAAAATACATACCGCAACACTTCCATAAAAGCAAAACTCATTGTTATTATTCCATTGTGTTTTCGGTCAACCATCCATACAAATCTCATTAAAGTGTTGGAGCAAACTGCAAAGTAGTAGACCCAACGGTGTTTGAATTCCAATTCTTCTCGCAGTCCGTAATTTGGCACATACCAAACTCGTAGGAAAGCCCAATCCATAGCCAAGTCCCAGAAATTTGCAAGGAGAGTATTAAATAGATGCACCAGGTACCAAAAGACAAGTGCGTCTATAATAAGGTAAACACGAAGAATGCAAGTTGGAAAACTGTTAAAAATGCGTTCTATCCAAGACAGATTGAATGTGCGTACCATCTCCTCACCTTGCGTGTTCGCATATAGTATCCAATATGGTATCACAATAGTAATATATTTCAACGCATTTAACAAATGAGGGTGCGCCCTTTGGGTTTTAACCCATCTTTGCAAGCATTGAACAAACCGCAGCAACGCGGGTATGGTCGCCATAAAGACCGCCCAGGGGTTTCTGTTCGAAGAGCATTTACCTAACCAAAGGAATCACCCGCCGTTAATTTGGAAAGATTAGTGACGCTCGCATACAAGAAAATAAGAATATATATAAAGCTATCACTGTACCTTCACTGATTTGTTCCCAATCGTTGCTAAGTGCACAAATGAGAGTTGCAACGTATGAAAACGTAAATTGAAGACTAACCAGTTCATCTGCGACAAAGAAATCACGAAATTCGACGCCATAGACAAATGGCAAACATACGCGGAGCTAAGAATAAAAGTGTCAAGGTTAATAACAATAACATCGATTGCTAGAAATAGTACAAATATAATCATTGGTGACGTTTTCATTTCATTTACCATAGTCACTATAAACCATCGCCTAACGTTGTAGTATAGTATAGGAAATGGGCAGAAGAATATTAACCCAATGATGCTAAGAAAGCCCACGAGGAAGTATAAAGGTGGAACAAACGGAAAAAAGTTTGCGAACGACAAGTAGAAGCAGATAGCGAGCAAAAGAAAAATGGCTGATGGAAACTGCGTGAAAAGTAACAAATCAATAATAATATAATTAGTTCCGAACGATAGACGTTGAATTATGCGGTAACAATACAAGCAAGTTGTAGACTTACTTCCAAATATTCTCTATGATCCATATTGTCTCTAGTATCAAAATCAAAAATAAGCCTATAATTAATCTTTGCTTTCGCCCAGGCAATCATATTGACTCCCACCAATAACCCAAGTACTATTGGCGCAACAACCGCAGCATATATTTGAAGTATCAGGTCATAGTTGCAAAAATTATAAAATGTCTGCTGCTCAGCCGGGCTTAGTGACGCGTCGGGATTGATCTGACAGGATTCTGCGATACTGTTTTTATCGACAAATGCTATTATATCCATAACTGAAATCAACGAATTAGCATATTATCGTAGATTAGCGTAAACGTTTGTAAGAATGTGTTATTAAAAAGCAAGTACCTGAGCGGATTCCTACAAGTATCAAGTTAATTGCCATTCCGAGATATATTCCCACACGCCATGTAACGAAATAGTGTGACTATACAATGACAGGCAGGTTAACTTGGAATATTGTTATCGTCGAACAATGTGTGTTTGTGGCTACTTACTTTTGCCTTATCTGGCATTCGTAGTCTCTTTATAGCATGTTTTCTAACACCATCTGAAAAGCTAGACACATAAAAAATCTGAAGGCGCAAAAATACACATTAACATGCGCAAATTTTAAGGATAACTAGTTTGATAGGACAATAACGTGGACGATTACCTCGGTTTGTTTGAGTATGCGGTCGAGTGTTTTGAGATTGCTGAAATTTGTCGCATCTACTTTGCGCATATAGATGTTACTTGCTTTCCAACTTGTATTCTAAATGTATGTCAATATGTGATAACAAGTAAAGATGCAACACCGTTTGGGTAAATCAAATTTTACCTTGTCATATTTTTTAAGTATTTTTTCGAATCCTAACCTATTCAGTTGCTGTTGATCGAATAAAGCAATGTATTATTAAATTACAACTATTAAAAAAAAAAGAAGCTTTTCTCGCAAGCCATTTCCCCCGAACATAAATACTCACAGCATATTTCTTAAGCATTTGTATGCTTCGGTAGAATTCCATCACTCCCATCTTGATTCGTTTCTTCGCTATGCCATAACTCATCGGTACTGGTTTTTTTTGACCGTCAGCAGTGATAACTTGAACTGTGCGAGCTTGTTCCATGCCGGATTGTTGACCGTGGGGAGGAGGATAATAATCATAATTATCAAGGTTTAGATGCTTTAGAATGTTCATCGGCTTGAATGTGTCCGGTTTCTTGCCCTTTAAAATGTAGATAACAATAACGCTGATGTTAAATCAGGTAGCGTTCATATGTATTTTATGAGCATAAATTGGCGAAACAAACGAATTAATTTTTCTAATCAGATTTGTCTCTGTAAATTTGGTGCCGCGCATTCATTATGCTCAAAATTCGGCACACCGTGTAGTACGCTGCTAAATATAGAATACTGCATATGCTATCACGTGGAGTATCAACTTACGGTTAATTTGCCTTTCTTACGTTCTTGCTTTAATAGTCTGTGTGCTTTTTTTAACTCTTTCAGTTTTTCACTAGCATAATCTTCGCGACCTATAAAAATATAATAATACAAATGTGGGTATGTGCAATATTTGTTTCTCGTACAGCACACAGAACTGTTGATCAAAATATAGACATTTACTTCCGTAAAATTCCCATATCTTCTGTAATTCTTTATCCAATTGCGAGAAAAACTTTTGCTCACTTTCATTCAACATTGGTATTAGCTCTTCCATTGTCATATCATCCTGTATAGAACTCTGACCTAGTGAAATATACCATCTCTTGTTAATTGTAATCCGCAATCTTAAAAACAGTTAAAGCAGTTCTCTGGGTCTCTTACAAAATGATGGGGCATTAGACCTGATATCCGTTTTGCTAGACCGCCTTGACAGTTTAGCAAAGAAAGGTCCTGCCACGTCACTCATACTCTTCAAGCTGAACCTTCTTCCATGCGTTAGTCTATCGCGTATCGTTGCATTTAGATCAATATCTGGACCAAGCGAGGTAGGGAATTCAGGTTCGGCATCCTTATGATATTCTTTATCAGCGAATTTGTATGATTGAATTACTTCTTTTATAATGCGTTTAAGTTCATTATAGTCGATGTACATCTTCTTCCACTCGGGAACTGCTTCCTGAGCGAGTACTTTTGCGAACTTCATAGTTCTAATTGCACAAACGATAGAAGATGACCGAGTGTCGCTACGAGTTGGGTGACCAAATATTTATTTAATGGGAATAGTGGAAGGGAGAATTGTTGAATTGAAGATTTATAAGCTCATCATGTAGTATATAAGTGTAAGTAATTTGGGTGGCATACTGACAGGGGATGTCAAATATTTGTCCTATGGTGAAATAATTGCCGATTGCATCGACACCATATATGAACAAGAATACATGATTTCATGTGCTATCAGATCTACAAACCAAAGATTGGCATCTTAAAATTCCACTCGCAAAAGAAGAGAAGTGTCACATGCCTGTGATGAGTGGAGGATTGGTGACATGAGAGGCACTCAAGTGAAAGCTACTGTTTCAAACCTACCCCGCCTCCGATAAGATGTAACGACTGTTTTTGGCTTCATATTAATATAGGCAAAATAAAGTTATGTTCCATACTCCCCGATCCGATCGGTGAACGAGTCAAATTCGAATGTTTGACGAGCGAATAATATTTTATTTGTAGATCGTACTTTTTAAAATTAAAAATGTATATTAATATCATTCGGTGCGTCCTTGATCATCAATAAAGACCTGCTACAAAGATTAGCTGTAATAGGCCAGCCACACGCTCTTCAACGATAACAAATTGATTGTGTTTTGTATGAATGCAATAGCAATATTCCCGTAACTCATAAAAAAATCCGAAAATTATGAACGCTTGCTCCACTTGTCGACCTATGCCATTTATTTCGTGCTATTTCTTTGACTTTTAATGCTATCCCGAGCTCTCTCGATTTCAATGTTCAGGGCATATACCCATTCTTCGCATTCCGCCCGATTCTTCGCTCTAAAGATCCATCTTTTACCAAAAGAATCCAATTTGGCTTTCTTTTTCAACGAGACAGACGAACGCCCTTTTCCAAAATAATATCTCTTTGTATTTTTCCAGATGATAAATGTGCAGTCATCTTCTTCATCAATGGAAAATGTTTGATCACTGTAGATACATGGCAGCTCAGAGCTACTATCAAGATCATTATCTATACTCCCAGAGTATGCATAACAATCATGTAACCTTATGATTCCTCTACGCTTATGGCGAGTGCAGGGAATAGCACGCCCTGATGTATTTCGACTATAAAGGTCGTAATACAAAAGATTATTCCAGGCAAGTATGAAATGGAATTTTTCAAAGGTATATCGAGAGTGAGACCGACAATAGAGGACACCCGATTTCTGTGCAAGTTTTGTAGATATTAATAGTGAAACGGGAGAAACATACCATAAGAAGCGTTTCATTTTTACTTACTGTTATGTCCCGACAACCATTCGGGACACACATGTTCCAAACATATGGGTTAGCAAAAGCGTGAATGTGCGCTACTTTATCATGGACATCCTCAGTCCAAAATCTACTATCATCTCCATCTCCATAACGTATGGACTGATTATTGGCCTTAGCAGTAAATATTCGGTCTTTCGTATCAGCCGCTCTCCGAGCTTGCCAATATTTCACAAGATCACAGAGACGTGATACCCACTCTTTGGTTGTATCTGATGAATGAGCCTAGCAGACAGAAAACGATTAATCGACATATTCAGACCAATGAATACAATTAAATTTTATAATTACCTCCAAAATAACGGCTAATCCATTCTTTAGCACCAACTGCATTATTTTTGAATTTATGTCAGATGACGGTTGTTCCTCTATTGGATTGGACAAATTACTACGGACACCTTGTGATAACTCAACATCTGCTACTTCTGTTAAATCAATGAAACCTAACGAATATTTGATGTGATGGATGCGTCTCTCACGATCACTTCTTTCATCCGATTGGCATCGAGGTTCGGTGGTTGCATTCATTATAGTGGTGACTGGAGAAGGCGGTTCCTTGACAAATTTTTGTTTTGTGTAGAAAAGAAAATTATCGTGACCAGTAAAATATAACCTTCTACCACGTTTATTCTTTCCTTTGCCATTTGTTAAGACCGTCAAAAAACCTTCAACCGCTGCTGGTTCCTGAGATAACAATGTTGAATGAAATGTTAAATGTGCGGCCAATTGCGATAAAAAATTAACCGTATCTTACATTCATTTTACTTCCATCTTTCAGCATTACGTCAATAGGATAATGCGCAATGTGTCGCAACTGTAGGTTATGTGTCTGATGCAATTCATTGGTCAATTTTTTAATAAAGAAAAATATTAAGTTTTGAATACAGATCAAATCCAAGCCAATTAACACACCTCTTCAATATATTGAGGACCAACTATAAAGCCCTTGCTATTTGTATCGCTTGAATTATTTGAACGAATCCACTCCAATCGATCGTATTTCTTCCAGCACAAGGCAACCTGATCACTTCTAAGCCATTCATCCAAAATCTCACCCCACTCTTGAACAACTCGTAACTGCTGCAATGCAGTGTTCTTAACCTTTTCTGCAGTCATTTCATACGCATCATCGTATTCATCCACAGGAATTCGCACATGTACATCCAGATCAGGAACAAAAACGTCGCACATAAGTGGCAATGGTTTTACACAACGTCGTTTGAAAAGACGGTGAAGTTCACGATACCATTCAAAATTATTCGTGTAGGTCCCACTACGAAGAAGAAAGATTTCATCGTCGTGCTGGCTGAGTCTTCTTAAGGCTATCGTATAATCTAAAGAGGAATACAATGACAAGCGCACGTCCTCCGAGAAATTAAATTCTTCTATTACAATACCCTTTAAACAGACAACCATTGGTCATTTTAATATCATTCTCATGTGAATAAGTCACAAACCGATACTTACTTGACCTATGCATATATTCAATTTTTCACGATAGAGAACCACCTTATATTCTTTCCATCCCATTGAGAATCTTGCAGTGCATCTCTTCGATCCCTCTTCGATCAATCCTTTACGAACGTGCTCAACCCTAACTAGCATACGACCCTTCTTTAATACTGTGTTTGATGTTACTGAACTAGAACCATGTACAACTGGTTCAGAGGAAATATCAGTTGGACGATGCTCAGCAAGTGGGAAGTTGGTGGTTGAGGCAATAGGAGCAGTTGGCAATGACGGGGAGACAACACGATCTCTAAAATGATTGGCATAAGTAAATTTCCAAGATCAACATCATCGAAAATCGCTGGTTGTAAGCTTGAATACCTTTCTTGTAAAGTGCCAGTGTCAGGTAGAGATAAAGGAAAACCCAAATCATCATTAGGTGAGGTTTGTTTCCAATGAGGTGGCGTGATTGGAAATGATTGAATGTCTTCATTGGGAGTGGTAAATGTTTCAGAATTACTCTGATATTGTGTAAGGGAGTCGGTGATTGGTTTAAAATCACTAACAAGATGTTCGTTATAACCATACCATACGAGTGAGATAAATATCAATCTTGTAATGCTTTATTAGGTTTACAGTTCTACTATATTCAATGTAATCGTGAATGGAATACCTCGACGATCGTCGTTCAGCGAATTCAAAGACGTCAAGATTAGACGTATCAGCCACCTCACAATCTGCTCTGTAGCTTAACCGTTTTGAAAAGTGATTATGCCGCCATCGCCCAAGAGGCAGCCTAGTTTTCTTGACATTTTCCCAATTAGCCGAGGTTGGTCCGATAAACATTCTACATGCTGTAGGACGAATTGATGCCGGCACTGGTAGAGATTCATTAGGCATCTTGAGTAATTATGTATGCAAGGTAAGGAAGGACTATGATCGGAACCGGTGCAAACCAACTGGGATTTCGGTTGAAGCTCAATAATAATAATAATGATGCATTTATGACATAAAGCGAGACAATTAGTATTAGTATGTTACCTGCATTTTCACACGCACTTTATATCTAGATCATGTGACTACCATTAACTTTATCTGTCTTACTTAACCCCTTAATAAACAAAAGTCGATGTTCTGCTATTGGAAGAAGTGATGCTATAGAGTATAATTTATATGGTATCGATAGAAGCGGCTGAGATCGGGTTCTTCAAAGACGCGTCGAGTTTTACATGCAGGAACGGCAAGTATCTATTGCTTGCGAGAGGCAGATGATATAACCGTAGATAGCGGATGCTGCAGCGTCAGGCCAAACGGGAAGAATGGCTCAAACTACTAGTTCATTGGTGAATAGTTTAACAAGATGCAAGCGAGAGCTGTATTTGGATAATAGGAAGTATAAGCGAGCTTTCCTTCAAGAAATAGCTACAATGCGGGATGTATTTAGTATACGAGAATGTATTCATAAATTAAGCCTGCGTTCACATAACCTCATTTAGTAAGTTTGTTATTGATGCTAGTGGATGGTAGAGTTTCATTGTTTTAATATCGGTTTAGATATTGTTGTATACTTTTGGTAGGATCCTTTTATTTCGGTAGAGGTCAGTAAATTTTTACCTGCATTTAAATAACAAATAATAATTATACGTAGTTAGTCATCCCACAAAGAGTCGATTATTATTATTGTCGGCTAAGTTGATCAGTACTAAATATTTATTGTAATTATTACTATTACATTATATCATTATCATTATTGCGGCTCTTTGGTTTTCAAACGCATTGTTATTATTATTTGTTAATTATCAGTTATTATTATAGTTATTGCTGTAAACTCGGATGATGTGTTAATTCACATGACCTATCAAAAACATTGTAGGTCTTCACGTGGCCGTTTGTTGCGTTTGTTGTCAACTGAAGACAGGTTATGGATTACGTGAAGCCTTCTTGTCAAACTGACCGGCAACCAATATGACGGTCAACCTCATCACAACTATTGAGTTATATGGGGAAATTGTCAAGCGCTTCCCCTTCCGTCTCGACATTGTTGCATGGCTGGTTGCAGCCCTACGCGATAGTAGACTTTGGGGAGCATCCCGTGACGAAGAAGTTCTGGTTCTTTCTGATTACGTTGGAGCTTATATATACAATCTGGCTGCTGGAATAGTGCCGTGTAAAAATTGGAGACACTTATTTGAGCTTCATCTTGCTTCTGGTAATATTTATGCTGCGAGAGGAGATGCAACTGCTGCATACAGAGAATATAACAGGGCTTTTCGAGCTGCGTTTGGTGGTGATGTCACTGAACTCGTAGCAGTAATCAACAGGGGAAATATGGGTGCAGTCAAGATACTATGCGCACCGTCCGAGTTGTATCAATATAGTGTCGTGCTTTACGAAGCAATAGACGGACAGTTATTTGGAGAAGCTGTAAACAGCGAGAGTCTCCTGCTAGTCGATAGCTTGCTTGCTAGTTTTTTGGGCTTGCTTGTGAAGCATTGGACTATTCTTAAAGATGAGGTGGAAAAGACTGGCGATGGAGTAAACAGGGCTTTCTTACCTTACCTCGTATATACACGCTTAGTGTTACTTTATGAACAAGGCTTGCCAGCATACGATCCAGTGGTCATTCGAGAAATTGCTTTGCATTTGGCCCGTGTGCTAGCGGACACATACGGCGGACAAGAAGAGCCGATAGTCTTTGGAGATAGGCAGATTCGAATCATGAATGGTGTGCAAGTCGGCATCGAGTATATCCGATGGCTTTGCAAGTTTGTTGATAATGAAGACTCGGCCGTAACAACAGGAAAATTCTTGCGAAATATGAGTGTAGGCGACGCAAAAATATATTTTGAAGAGCTACACGCTCTTATTCCGACCAATAAAGTTATTGAACAAGAGCTGGCAAACACATATTCTGCGTTGGCTGCATTCAAGTCCGAAAACGACGAGTTTCATGAAGCTGTTCAGTTATGTGAAGCTTCAATAAGAATGTGCCCCGACTTGCCATGCTTTCTTCTTCAGTTCTATAACATCAAGTATACACACTGTGACTGGAACAATCTTGGCGGAAATGGCGCCCAGTACTTTGTAGATGAGAATGGTCGCCTCAAATCTTCTGGTAGCTGTTATGAGGGTCTAGTCGAAAGAGTCGTTTCTGAATTCGAGAAGTCTATAGCCAACGGACAGAATTACGGTAAAGGCATTCTCAAAGCAGTCGGTGGTCCAAAAAAGTTTGTCGAAGACGTTACAAAGTGTCTGCATCCCGAAGATCCGCTTCGAATCGAATTAAAAAATAAGGCAGATCATTGGGAAAAGATAAAAAAAATACCGCTGGCAAACGAAGGTGGATGGGTTATTCGAGTAACCGAAAAAGTTACTCGTGCATTGCAAAGAAAGTGGTATTACGACAGTTACGGTCGACAGTACAATGACATTTTCGGCAGAGTAAAAAGAATTCGAACTGGTACCGAAGAAGAGAAATATAAACGACCCACTCTTCCACCCATGCTTGAACGACCAGAGCCTACTCCCTTGGATCCGTTTACGGCGTTTAATGTTCCAATGACGGCCAGACAAGTGCGTTTATGTGCACATCGATACGCTCTTGCGATATCGTATGATGCATTAAAAGCAGAATGCATACCGAAAACAGTAATACCACCACCCCCTCCCCCAGCACCACGATTGAAAATTGGTTACGTTAGCTCGGATTTGCACGGAAGACATCCGATGGCTCATTTAGTATCAAACATGTTTGGAATGCACGAACGATTGCAATTTGAAGTGTTTGTGTACGCAACATGTCCTAATGATGGATCGAGATTTAGGAATAACATTGAAACTCAACTAGAAGCTGGGCACGTAAAGGATGTTATGTCACTTCCAATGGAGGAACTTGTTCAAGTTATTCACAAAGACGGTATACATATTCTGGTCAATCTCAATGGGCATACAGCTGGAGATCGAAATCATCTGTTTTCTGCTCGAGTGGCTCCTATCCAGATACAACATATGGGCTTCTGTGGTAGTTGTGGAGGAGACTGGATCGACTATTTCATATCGGATAACCACATAACGCCAGCAAATGCCATTGCATCGAACTTTAAGAGTGTAAACTCTAGACCTGGTGACATTCTTGACTCGCCTGATCCGGAAGAAGCTGACAACGACTGGTGTATATATGAAAAAGTAATCTTAATGCCAAATACTTATTTTGCTACTGATTATAGACAATCGTTCAACGATACGGAAGAAATACCACAAAAAGTTCGCGAGGATCCTGAGCAGTTATGGTTGTACGAGCAAGATAGAAGATGGGATTTGCGGAAGAAGTTATTTCCTAATATAGCCGACGACAGTATAATTCTTGCGACATTTAATCAATTGTACAAACTAGACCCCTGTACATTCAGAATCTGGTGCAATATCTTGCAAAGGTCAGAGAACGCTTACTTATGGGTACTCGAGTACCCACGAGCAGGGGCACTGAAATTAATAGAATATGCTAGAATATGGTGTAGTGAATCTGTTGCCAAGAGGATTCTTACCACCGAGAAAGCACCGAAAGACGAACACGTATACCGCACTAGGATTGCAGATTTGTTGCTTGATATGCCAAAGGTCAATGCTCACACAACTGCTGCAGATACACTTTGGTCGGGTACTCCTATTCTTACTTGTTCAGGCGAAGTTCAAAAGACTGCTTCACGGGTAGCACATAGTATTGCTAGTGCAACTGGTGTGAAAGGGATGACAGTGACGAACATGAAAGAATATGAAGAACGCGCCGTTCAACTCGTCAGATCTGTCAAGTACAAATATAGAGAATATTCCACCAAGGATATCCCTAAGAGATGGCATCGAGTTGGAGAGGGTGAATTGATAGAAATGAGAAAGAAACTTTTCTTGGGTAGAGAAAAAAGTGCATTATTTGATACTCCTAGATACGTTAAGGATATGGAGAAAGGGTTTCTCATTGCTTGGCGCCAGTGGATTAGCGGGCAAGAGAAAAACATTATTATAAAGAAAGATTGATAATGAACGACTAGTTAGTTTTCTGTAAATTTAATTCCCTTTTCTTTTTTGTAATTTAGTTTTTGTTTTTGTTTTTTTTTTTTTGACTATTTTTTCTTCTGATAGATTATTAACTTGAATATAGTTAGCGAAAAAGATTTAGTTTGGTGTAAGGTGTATGAAATTATGGATAATATTAATAACTATATGAGATTGATTATGTATATTGAGTACGTTAGTTAAAGAGTAACACATTGAAAGAGAGCAAAATGGGGTTTATTGGTGTTGGAGTGTATGACCGAATATATAGGGTTGCTTTATCATTTATCTCAGATGAGTTACTAATGCTGTCATCTCTCTTTATCTAGATATAAAGAAGTCGTTGGAGATCTCCCGGCGATTGATCGACTACTAACATGTTTTAAGTTTCGTTTACTTTGCTTTTTTAATGTCTGCTACTTGGTTGTCTGTATTTCGTATATCGTCTCACCTCTGTGTTCTCGCGTGATGAATAGATGTCGCATGTGAGTATGGAAAGAACAATGAAGTTGGGGGTAGCATGACTTTTCTTGTGCGGTTATCGTTCGATAGTATAAAAAAAAAGCCCTATATAGTAATAGCAAGACCAAGTCTACGTTTTGCAATCGATATTGCTCTTCTGCGCAATTATGTACTAAATTCACTCTTATATTAACAGATTCTTGTACCAAAGATAAGCAAATCTCCTCCTTAAGAGTGACAGATTCGTTCTTGGGTACTCGAGATCTGAATATAAGGTGTTAGTTTGTATCATAGTTTACAGAAAACGCTTATGCTTTAACATACAGGCTTTTTCCAGGCCTTACAAATGGACTGATTAATAACTCGTTTCTATCACTATCGGTAAAAATAAGCAATTAGGAAATTTGGCAGACGTTTCTACCGGGCTTGTAATCCATGAACTTCAGCATAATTCGCGAGAGAAATTTTTTCAATTTGAGATAATTGTCATTCGCAAGCTGGACAATAAAGTCATACTCGATTACGGTCTCCAAATTTACGTTCTTGAAGTTTATATAAACGCCCAATTTATTCAATGACTCGTGTTTAGCTGGGATTAAGCAAATCTTATTATTATTGCTCAAGTCGTTGAATGTATTCGGCGCCTCTTTTAAGGAATTCGTAGTAATTTATCGAATGGATATTGTTGATACCTAATTAACACCTAATTAACACCTTAACAAATACACGCTTAATTAGCTGGCCCTCATAAGCGCGTTTCGAGTTGCATCGGCTGTGTTGTCACTATTATTTATTTATATTTTATGGAACTTTATTTGTATACAATAATAATAGGTTTACATGTTCATACTATTACGTATTACTGCGTCAACAATTTTTTTACCTCATCCTGACAAGCATATAACACATTTAGATTGACTAATGCCAAATCATTAGTCATCATATTAATGATCAATACATAATGACATGTATCCAGAACCGACCAAGTTTTTGTTTTTTCTAGACAAAAATTGTTAAACATTTAGTACGTTTAATCCAGGCCAAGGGCGAAATGCAAAATATTTGGCCATTAAAATTGTGAAGAGCAATTCGTCCGGTCACATGCTTTCACGCATTACACACTGGCTTTACACACAACTCAACAGTTTACGTCCGCGGGAGTCCACCGTGGCCAATCTGGTTCGTCTTTCAAGAGAGCTTCCCTTCATTACCCACTGGACATTGGTAATATCTTTGAACTTATCTCGGTGGAGACCTAAACGAGCGGTCATTTTTAGATATAATCGTATAATATTAAGAACGTTACGCTGTAACTCGAAGAAGTTCAGCATGCCGAAGCTATTAACACGAAACTTACCTTGTAAACAAGGTATGCTGTCCCAGTAAATGTAGTGCCTAGTTATTCTTTCTAACTGACCGTATCGGCCGGAATTGCGAATTGCTAACTGATCGTATCGGCCAGAATTGCGAATTGGCACTCTTTGGTAGAGTGCAGTGATATCGATGCCGCGCGTCACAACTTATTGGAGATTATAGTGAACGCCGGTTGAATATTTCCAATCATACCGTAAGAGTTATTCCATTATTCTTCGACCAAAGAAGAGGTGCAGAACCTGCTCAAATTTCGGGTTGTTTATATCTAAATTGCTACTGCGGAATAGCTATTAATCACTGTGTTCGATTTATTTAGAAATACGATGTAGATCATTTCGCAATTCGTACAACGCCAAGTCCGAATTATTTATTGGATTATAAATACTGCGGTAGTTAGAAATCAGTTATAAAAACGACCTTTGTTCCAAGCTGAAAGCTTAGCTTTTTGCTCATAAGTTCATGCTTGAAGAATTCATGTCTATCAAATGAGTTTATAACTCTTGTTGTGAAATAAATATCTAATTACCGATAAAATGAAATCCAAAACACCTAGCGCGAGATCGGTGTCCGCGATTTCCGCGAAATTCCAATTCCGCAGTACATCAAAATCGGCAAGAATCAGTGCAGTCGAAAAGACGCTTATTGTCCGGATTTGGGCAGTATTCTGGATTAGGTTGTCCCGGTCGAAAATTCTGGACAGACACAAACTATCCCCATTTATCCAAAAATCTGGACAGTTTAGTGAAACGATAATTAGTCATAAATACGAGTCGTAGCTAAAAATCATCCGCAGTTCATATCTTCAGTAAGACGTTGCTATTAGGATAGTAATAAAAATTTGATTCAAATATAATTGTTATTATTTCGTTTATTCCCTGATAAAAGATACTTGCATAATCTCAATTACAATTAAATGTTTGCTTTTTAATTATGGTTGAAGTTTACAATTTTTGCATTAAAAAGCTTCTAATACTAATAGAACAGCCAATGTTAATGATATGGTCGAGGTGATAATCAAGGAAAATGACATTTTCACTGCATTATTTGTATTGTCATTAGCAAGAACTCCCTAGTATTGCAAAAAGTACATATAGTGAACTCTCCATAAATGCAACCCCCATAATAATAAGCAAGCAACTCATGAAGAATTGGTGGAAACTGCATTTATAGAGCGTTTACTGCACCAACACTTACTCAAATAAATAGATAAGCAAACCTATATAATCCGAGAGAAGGGCAACCTGCATTTATCTAATAGTCGTAATTAATTGGTTTAACTTATCCATTCTTATTCTCCCCTCATTATAATCAATGAATATTTTCTTGTAATCATGCATGTGGCCAATACACAAAATGCGGCATTTTTTTAAGTAATTTTCAATGCTTGGCTTCTTCGTTTAGTCTCTTAATTTTAACTAAGGCCATACTAGTCATGTCAAAATACCTAACAAATATGCTTTATGTTAAACAATCTTAAACTAAAATGTGGTGGAATAAACGGTAGCACTGCTACATAATTCTATAAAACTTTTTTTTTTGTGCACCAGTTCAGTGCCTTAGAGGTGATACTTGCTATTTCTATTTCCTGATGTCGCACCCTTAATTCTAAATTCGTAATAGTGACCAACAATGCTATTCACGGTTTTTGAATTCAAGATTGTTTGGTACATAATGAAACTCGATAAGTCGGACATTCGATAAGTCGGAAACTCAATAGTCGGAAACTCAATAAGTTGGACAAGATCTCTCTGCCCTTTTTATTAAAACCCTTTCGATAAGTCGGATAACCATGCCAGCCAGTCGTGTTTCACTATGTAACACCCGTTCCTTAAATAATAAATTATTTAATTTAAAGAAGCAAATTTTCAAGCATTCGACTTTGAGAGGTTATTTTGCTAAGAATTGTCATTATCTTACAGTTTATTACAAAAATTTGCGCGGAAAAATTCTTTATCATAGAATGACGTCTTATTTTATTTTGTGGTATACTAATACTGCTGTAAACATTCAAGTATGTACTATTCAATAAACTTTATGCTTACTAATTGTACGGAATTAACAGATTTGGGCTCATTATATTCGACTTAATTTGTAACTAATCAAACTTTCAGCAAGGCTTAGTTTAGTACTTTCTAACGTTTTTACCTCTGCATCCGTGATAAGGGTTTTGCTTTGTGGAGATAAAATCGACTCTTAATATTAAGCGCATGACGATAAGATGACCAGTGTTAGAGAAGTCATTTGGGTTTGATTATGTTACTGAATTAGTATAGTCATGAATTGGTATAGTCTAGTTTTTCCTTCCTCCCCAGAATTACTAATAATTACTTCCTGTATTTTCAAAATTTGACTGTATTTTCTAACCAGAGGATTACACATACAAATTCGTTTGGATTATAATAGCTGCATCGATTTGCTTTAATCTATATAATTATAATAACTTATATAATTAAAACTACTAATACAATTAACACCGTGTTATGTTTCTGAAACTTTTCAGTATTTCCGCTTTTGGACATTATTATGTATCGGTATGTATGTTCCCTTTATGAATTTTTGATGTCCTAATTTTAGTTCGGTATTGTCCAATTTGTACACTTACTTCTTTTTATTACAATTATTCTTCTTCTAATTATGTTCCAAGTTCGGTTATTGAAACTTTTAACATTGATTTTTGAACTGTTAGTGTAATACTTACAAGATGAGATTGATTCTGTTTATCGCACTATCGAACAATTCTATTGTTACGTGGGGGTGCTGAAAAGTTTGTCGCCAGGGTTGGATTTCAACAATCAGCTAACTTATGTAAAAATCGAGTTGATCAATCGTTTCGCAACGTTTCGAGGAATGAATGAAAAAAAAAAAGATCACGAAATTTATTTCGCATTATCAAAACAACTGGACAAAATAGGCCATAAACGAGAACGATAATACATCTAGGGAATGAACTCGGGTTCGCAACAAATTGGCCAATGCAGAAGGGAAACAAGCACTATCTCTTCGCACAGTTTAAAGCTGGATTCATACATTCAAGGGATAGATATGAAGGCATTCTTGACTTGCAAAGCAGTGACGTCAGAAAAATTCGACAATTTCATAAAAATCTGACCCTAATATTACTACCACAGAAATGGCTAGTCAGGTAGGTATTTCCCCTGAAAGCTTTATGCAAATAGTATACTGTCAGAAGTATTTTCAAACATGAAAAAAAAAAATTGTCATAATTCACTATGACATGTAACACCGCATAAGTCAGCAATCGTAACTGAATATCCTCACAAGTAACAGATAACATTTCTTCCCAATTTTCCATATAATCCAGATCCTTCTTGATTTTTTCTTATTCCTTCAAAACTGAAGGAAAAAAAGGTTTAATAGTGTTGAAAATTTGGCAAGGGCTGTTTAGCCAATTGTTGACACCATCCCAAAAGCTGACTACGAGAAGTCCTTCTAGAGTTGGCAGAATCGCTTGTAACATTGCAGAGATGTTAACGGAGACTACTTTGTGGAAATCAAATAGTTTTTTGAACAATTGTATTTAGAATCATCAAAATAAAGAATTGATGACAAAACTTTTCAGCCCCACGTAATCACCCACGTACAAATACAGAAAATATAGACAGCCTTCCAGATGGGAGAAATGTGGGAGAAATTAAGTTACTTCCAAGTATTGGCGGGCTTAAACTAGTACTAGCGTTTTCCGATAAAATATGATTGTCGACGTGCAATTAGATGTTTCCGAGAAATATAGCTACGAACTATCAGGCGCCATAACATTACCGCCTACAAAGATCAGGGATAAAAAGAAAGGCCTCAAGTCATAAAAAAAGCCCATTAGTAATTTGGCTCAAAATGCATGCCGATGTATAACTTCATAAATATAAAGATACGAACTAGGAATGAATAACCGAATAATGAGAACCTTGTTCATCGTTCTAGACTGATTCTTGACCGGACTTTTATTACTTCAAATGTTATTATTCATATGAAGAAATCCACGATTTTTAAATGACAGAACTATTCACGTGAAACTTTTGACTCAAAGTTGCACAAAATACAAAAACTCCCCATTTATTATCATTCTATTTCTGCTTAAACGCAAAAATTCGCCGTTTTGTAGACTACCAAGTAATTGGCACGGATATTTAGTGTAATTCTAATACCAATAAAAGAAGGAAAATGACAAGAAAAATACAGTTGTCGATGAGACAAACAAGGAGCATGTTGTTGAATTCGTGTTACAAATATTACAAATGGAGCCATTATTAGAATATCATAAATGTCAATTGCAACGTCCATCGGCTAATCGATATTAAGCATATAATGGTTGATCAACGTGATTGAGCTTTTTCGAAAGACGTCGGTCGACCACGCATTTTCCTTTTCAGGGCACAGTCACCGATACATTGTGATAACTCTTCAAGACCGCCGACGTCGAAGTAATAAATAATCCGCTCCCAACTTTCAAATTTCATCTATACATTTACAACGTAGTCTTAATACAATATAACAAATAGTAAATGATTCATTGATCATAATGAGTACTGAGACAGCAAGCACAAGTTCCGAGCGATTCTCTGCTCCAAAGCGAGGTTTAAAAATTAGAAAACGCTGGGAAGATAATTCATACTGGGAAAGAGTAAAGTGAGTCATAAAAAAAGAACTTATATATGTGTATAGTATGTAGCTATCGGAAATGAAACTAAATGTTTGAAATGTGATCCTTTCTTTACAACAGGAAAGGACCTGTATCCACGGCGCTATATTTATGTAAGTGTAATAAACGATCCAAACATCATGTCTGTTTCTCGTATTGGGTGAATTATCAATTTAAAAACATGCAACTTACTTCTCCTAAACAACAGCTCTGTTATATCCCAAAGTCCTTTTCAATCACAAAGTACGTAAAACCCCGCTTAATTCTGGCTGGACATCATACCAAGAGGCGGCAATTCGTACATTTAAATGGTCGTCGGATTCACCATTAGCTGTCTCCAGGCGCGCTGCCAACTTTATAGAAGCGATTGGAAAGTCTAGATGCTCTGAGCCATTGACTGCGGTGACTGATGTGCCTGGCGTGCAAGGTCACTGGATAGGCCCAGAGACTTGGAATGGTCGAGAGGCCGAGGCCATTATTTTCTACCTTCACGGTAAACTTAAGTGCATCTTGGTGGGGGGAAGCATTCACACTTTAAGTAGACTAGTTGGAATATGATTACCCAATCCTGAAATTATTATTAGGTAACTAAAATAAGTTTATGCGTATTCTTTGTTTCTTCTTTCTTTCAGGAGGAGGCTACGTGACTTTTTCGTCGCTTTGCTCATTGCAGCCATTATGCTATTTGTTAAAAACATTAAGGAAAAAACACAACAAACACGTCCGCATATTATCACTAGACTACCCACTGGCACCGGAAAATCCCTATCCACATGCTATCACTTGCGCAGAGAACGCATATCGATGGCTGGTAACTGAAAGTGGTGTGGCTGGTAACCAAAATGTCATCATTTGTGAGTATATATGAAAAAAATGTTACTACAAAAAGCATCTCGATTATCTCTCTCTAATTACTATTGTCATGCTTCAGGTGGGGACTCTGCCGGAGGCGGTCTTTCATTGAGTCTACTTCAAAGCCTATACAAAGACCACGGTGGTCGCCGGAAAAACTCAATTGACGCCCAAAAGATGCCAATGCCTCTCGGTGCCATACTAATATCTCCATGGGTTGAACTAAAATGTGATGCCTTATCATATACCACAAATGCAAAATATGACCTTTTACCAGTACATTTCTGCCCGTTCGCCGCCGAATATTACATCTATGGACACAAACGATCTCAACTTTTTCAATCAAAATTGAAAAATAAAGACGATGATAAGAAAGTCGATGCTAACAGAGAAGAATCATTTAATTCCAGCCGAAAAAATACTAAAAATAAATATGCCAATCCATACAAAAATCCAATGATAGCTTCGAAATATGCACCTCTTGAGCTATTAGCAAAGTTTCCGCCACTGCTAATCAGCTATGGAGGAAAAGAAATATTTAAAGACGATATTGAAGAATTCGTGCAGAAGTGTGTGGAAGCAAAAAAATTGAAACGAGGAAAAAGTTCCGAGCCTTTATTAAAATCTGGCGAAAAAAAGAACGACTATTTGCAATTTGAACCACCCTCTAGCGAGACCTTCCATCCTGAAGTACAGATTGAATATAACCCTGAAATGGTTCATATGTGAGTAGCAGCCGATTGGAGAGTATGCTATACGTCAAATTCTTCTTACCCTATCTCATTATTATATCGCTTTTCTGTTTTCTTTCGTTCAATAGCTACCCGTTCTTGTTAGATTTTCTCGGAGAGCACAGCCGCGAAGCACTCAAACGTTTCGCCGGATTCATAACAGCAAGGCTTGACTATTCCAAACATAGACCATTGATTCCTTTAAATTTGCCATTGGTATCTGTTGAAACACCATATTTAATGGAATAAGACGTAAAAGTCTGCGGATTTTACAGATCAAAATGATGCCAATATAGTGTTTTCGAGTTCGAGAAAAATTAATTAGAAAGCTACGAGTCATTATAGAAAAAATATTGTCGCCTAATAAAAATCTTATTATACGCGTTATTAATGGGTGGTCGGGTTTTTAAATCAATTATAATTACAAATATTATTATCAAGCTTAATTTATTATCTTTATAATTTGTTTTTAAATTAACAATTCAATTTTCGACACTATTTAATATTAGCGCACACGGAGCTGGACTTCGACTTAATTGTAATAATAGTAATAATTAATAAATAAATAAATATAACTTGCGAAACGACAATTATTCTAATAATCAATGGTCTTTGTTTTTATCTTGGATTTCTTACAAGTCGGCTAAGATCAGAATGCACTCTGGGGAAGCTCGTCAAATCACCAATTTGTTGTACAACGATCAACCTGAAAAGAAGGGTATGAAGTCATCTTCACTGATTACTCGCCCGAACCTTTCGGAATCTATATTTTCAGTCACGGAGAGAAATTCGTCCAGATTCATTGTATTCCCTTTGTACAAGAGGAACCGATTTTACAACAAAATACTTTATAAAATGTACATCTTTATCCAAGGATAGTAAAATAAATTATATTGCATTCTTACCATCAGTTGATATAGGCGGATAAGGTGGTGGTGGAGCCATCCATGACCCATCTTCTTTCAACTTGTTGCAGAGATAAGTAGATCATCAACATGTGTGCATGCAGAAATCACACAACAGGGATTATCGAAAATTACCAACCATATGGCTGCGATCTGAAGCAAAGACCTCGAGATATGTCTTTGCGGGTATTAACCTGTATTTACTTTGTAAAAGCAAACGTTATGAATTGGTGAAATCGCACATGTTATTTTCAACCAGCAGATAAACTGATACCGTTGCAATTCTCGTTGGGGAAAGCGCGCTAATGCTGAACGGCGATAAGTCCCAAATTCGCACGGAAAGGGAAGAAACGTATCCAGGTCATAAACCCAAGATCTTTGCATAATAACAAGTCAGATAATTCATTCAGTTCTTAGTGTAAACAAATTTTTTCCATACGAACATGTAAACTTTATACATTTCAACCTTTTTGTTTGCCCATTCTCAGTTTCGGTGTACAAGAGAATTACATGGTAATCCTAACAATTAACGAGGTTCTTTAGTTTAAACATGTTACTTATTCCAATCACCAACGGAGGACTAATTGGCATACCCAGCAGACAAAGCCTTCCGCATTTAGCCCAGCACGCTGTCTGAGTAAAGGAATCTAATAATCGAGCTGTGCCTCAGTCGAAATTTGCGAGAAGTTTTTTCTAATGGTGTTCAAAGTTGATCAACTGTGACTACTTGGAGCAATCAAATCCTACCGAACTCCACTCATTCGTAATAAAGACTGCGTAAACCTCACTTGCAGGCGGCGTAATTTCCGCCTTTGCGTCGTCTTCTAGTTGTGATTCATTTAGGGCAAGAAATTTACGGCATAAGTAGTAAACATTCTCTTCACAATAGTTGGCAGTATATGTGTGCTCGGATGTAAAGTATGGTGGCATGGCTATTAGGTAGTAGCCCAGGTGCGTATTGCAGAAAGGCTTCCCTGCCAGGAAATTTAAACACAATTCGATTATAGGGTTGTGTAACTATACTAGATTTGCAGAATGCAAAATACCGGCAATAATGGGCTCATTTTTGCTTCCTATTGTCCCTAATAATGCATTGTTGATGATGGCATGATTTATTTGACTGACCATTATAGAGATTATAGAGCCGAGGCCGGTCATGCGTTTCCTATTCTGGTTTCTTTAAAAGGTTTGCAGATCTTATTGGCAGATTTAATGGAACGCAAGTGACTGCGTATCGGTAGTGATATCTACTGTATCTACAGTGATATGTTACCAAACGCTTGGGTGGGAATGGTTGTTTAGAGAGACTCGAAAACAGTACAACTGACCGCTACCATGGAGTGTCAACAAAAGGGGCAGAATTAATCGACTTGGTGAATGAATGGGTGGGATCATGTGTATAATAATAGCATCATTATAATTAATAATTGAGATCATTTAGTTTGTACAGCGCTAATTGCGGAAAGGGGACGACAAGACCACAACATTATTATTCCATTGACTTCTAGTAGTTCTACGGGCTGAATTAGTATAGTGAGTGGAGATCTGACCATAACCGAGCATTTTTATATCTGTCGATGATGAACTTTTATTAGGAAACATATCTACATTGTCTGCGAACTCGTGCCAAATCGAGATTTCATATCTTATTCGACTTTCTATTGTGAGCCGTCATATATGAGCAAAGATGCAACTATGATCTATGCCAAATCTGGCTTAGAAATAACGATCCGTAAAGGAATTTTGTGGTCTGTGGTATTATCATAAAGGTTTAAAAACAAATATATTAAATCGAATAAAGAAATTACTGTCAGCTGCCCCAAAATGTAAAGGCTGCAACCCTTGACAACTTGTCAAACAATAAATTATAGAAAACCATAATAACAAATATTTTGATGTCAAAGACTGTTTGCTTGCAATTGCGGCAGATGAAGAAGAGCTGCAATCTCAAGAGGCTGGAGCTTACTTTTTAGAGTTAGTGACAGAATTTATTACAGAGGCTATTCCACAATTGATTTTGACTAGCAATCTTCACTAATTAGGCGATTAGTAAAAATTGCAATGGATTTATTCAATTCAAAAACAAAAGAGGAGTTGCGAGTACGACTCCTGCTAAAGGTTAGATTGAAATAAACAAAGCCGACTACAGTCAACCCTCTTTATAGTCACCCCCTCTATAAGCACATCATATAAAAATCTCTTTATAAGCACACCATGTTTGAGAACCACTTACTATTGAACTATAGGAAAACCCTTCTATATAGTCACAACCTCTTTATAAGCACATTTTCAACAAAAGTTGCATTGTTCCCGACAGCGTGACTATGAGAAGATTGACTGTACAGCCCCCTCCCATAAATGACTGAGTAACACAAAATTTCGTAAATTATATGTCGAATTCGCACGCATGTAA